GTCCGTGAAAAACGCACCGCCACGGAATTCTCCGCGCTGTTCAAGGGTCCGGCGGACCGCTCCGGGTATGGTGACCTGGAACTCCGCAACAAGTACCTGAGCGGCATCCCCTCCCGGGTCTACTGGAAGATCGAGCTCGAGATGTTCGCCACATGGCGAGAAGCTGACACACGCGCCACCGAGGTCGAGCAGATCCTCGATGTCAGCCAGGCCCGACGACCCGAGTTGAACAACTTCTTCTCGGCTCGAGGTCGAGGACGTGGTGGGGCACGTGGTGGTGCACCCCGATCACAAGGAGCTTCGGCCAGCATCAATGCGGCCGTCAGAAAAGGCGACTTCCCAGGCGAATACTTCGGCTGTGGGAAGAAAGGGTACCGACGCTTCGAGTGCCCCAATTGTAAGGACAAACCTTACACAAAATGCGCCGACGCATGGGCTACGGTTGCCTCGGGATCCACCCAGGCGGCAACAAGCGCCCCCGTCGCTTCATCCTCGGCGAGTACAAGCACCGCTTCAGCGAAATCGGAAAGTTCCGAGCTGGCAGACTTGATAGCACAGATGAAGTCGATGCACGAGGAGCTCGAGCACTATCGGGCAATGAAGGAGGAGGGTTTTTGATCCGGTCCGCGCTTCATGCCGCACGCGTCGGGCCGAGTACCTCATGTAATAAGTATAACGTATTGTCAACTGCGATGGTGTACGAATTGGACCAGGGGTCCCAACATTTTCACATCCCAGTACGACTTCAAGGGAAAAGACGGCACAAGGACATAATCGCTATGGTGGACAGCGGAGCCACCACGAAGTTTATCAACAAGCGATTCATTATAGAACATAAGGTGTAGACGCGGAGGCTGAAGGAGCCCATTCCGCTATACAATATCGACAGCACCCTCAATAAAGACGGAAGCATCTCGGAAGTAGCCGTGCTACAGATGCAGATAGGAGAACACGTCGAGAAGACGGTGTTTACGGTCACGGACATCGGTCTGGAAGATGTGATCATTGGGTTGGATTGGTTGCGTGAGCACAACCCTGAAATCGATTGGGAAAAAGGCTCCCTCAAATTGTCGCGATGCCCTGAAACATGTAGTGCCAGGAGGACTGGCCGGATGGAGCAAGCAGCGACTGCGTGTGATACGGGGGTCAGGCCCACGGCACACAGGTGTTCGCCAAAGTCCAAATGGTCGGTCATAGGCGCTTGCTGGAGTAAGGTACTCCCGGACTTCGAACCCAAAGAGGATCCGGTGGAAGTAGAATGGGACGAAGCAGACTTGATCGAGGCCTGGGAGCAAGGTATCACACTTCCCGGCGCCCCTCAGCTGTTTGTCGCAGCAGGGCATACGTACTCCCAGCTGTTCGCTGAGGAAGAGATCAAGAAAAAGGTCGTCAAGACCGCCGAGGAGTCAGTACCCAAGCAGTACCACGAGTTTCTGAAGGTCTTCTCCAAAGAAGCATCAGAACGGCTACCCGAAAGGAAGCCGTACGATCACGCAATCGAACTTGTACCTGGGTACTCGACTTTCCATTCGAAGGTGTACCCCCTGTTGAACAATGAGCAAGAGGAGCTTGACAAGTTCCTAAAGGAACAGCTAGCGAAGGGTTACATACGGGAATCAAAGTCGCCCATTTCGTCCCCTTTTTTCTTCATCAAAAAGAAGGAAGGGATGCTTCGACCCGTGCAGGACTATCGCCGGTTGAACGCGATCACGGTCAAGAATCGCTACCCTCTGCCGCTGATCACCGAGATGGTAGATAAGCTCCGCGGCACTACGCTCTTCACAAAGTTCGACGTCCGATGGGGATACAATAACGTCCGGATCAAGGCCGGTGACGAATGGAAGGCGGCCTTTGTGACTAACCGAGGGTTGTACGAGCCCTTGGTGATGTTCTTCGGTCTCACCAATTCCCCTGCGACCTTCCAGGCAATGATGAACGAGATATTCCACGATCTCATCGTTGGTGGCAAGATCCTCGTATACCTGGATGACATACTCATCTTCTCCACCAACAAGGAGGAGCACGAGAAGGTCACACGTGAGGTTCTTCGTCGCCTTCAGGACAATGATCTGTTCCTGAAGCCTGAGAAGTGCGAGTGGGACGTTCCCAAGGTTGACTACGTTGGCTATGTGTTCGGTGGCGATGAGGTGGCGATGGATCCCGCGAAGCTTAAAGGAATTAATGAGTGGCCGGTACCCCGGAACAAAAAAGACGTTCAGAAGTTCCGGGGGTTCTCCAACTTCTACCACCGCTTTATTAAGGACTTCGCTAAGATCTCGCGACCACTCGACCGACTCACAGGGAACGACCCATGGCATTGGGGCGAAGAAGAGCAGCACGCTTTCGATGAGCTCAAGCGGCTCTTCGCGACGACTCCAGAATGGCGCTGTATGACCCTAATCGGGAGACGCGCATTGAGGTTGATGCCTCGGGGTACGCCACTGGGGGCGTGTTGATGCAGAAGCAGGATGACGGCAAATGGCATCCCATCGCTTTCAGATCCCATGCGATGGATCTGGCGCAGCGTAACTACGAGATCTACAACAAGGAGATGCTTGCGATCATCGAGGCATTAGAAGATTGGCGCCACTACCTCGAAGGATTACCCAATCAGTTCAAGATCGTAACCGATCACAAGAACCTCGAGTACTGGCGCATGTCACAACACCTCACGCGTCGTCAAGTGCGATGGTCACTGTTCCTGGCTCGCTTCGACTTCCGCATCACGCACAAAGCCGGAACGTCGAACGGAAAGGCTGATGCCCTGTCACGCCGATCAGATCATCAGGTCGGCGATGAGGACGATAACACCGATCAGGTGGTTCTCAAACCAGAGAGGTTCCGCATCGCCTCCACTCGGCGCGGTCATGCCTTGGTGACGGCTGATCAGTCGCTTCTGAAACGCATCAGAGAGTGTTTGGAGAGGGATCGGGAGGTGGCTAAGGCACTTGAAAAGGTGCAGAACCTCGGGCCGCCCCGGCTGCAAAGGGGTTTTGAGGAGTGGAATGCCGAACAAGGGCTTCTGCTGTTTCGCGGGTGCATGTACGTCCCAAAGAACGCGGAGCTCCGGCGGGATATAGTCAAGATCCACCACGACTCGCCGATCGCCGGTCATGGTGGTCGTGCCAAAACCCTGGAGCTCGTGTCGCGGAATTACTGGTGGCCTGGGATGTCCAAATTCGTCAATGAGTATGTGAGCACCTGTGACGTGTGCAACCGTACCAAGACATTCCCAGCCAAGCCCCAGGGTCCGCTGAAGCCGAATGAGATCCCCGAGCGCCCGTGGCAGATCATCACCACTGATATGATCGTTGGCTTGCCGAAGTCTGACGGATTCGACTCGATCCTGGTCACCGCTGACCGCTTTACCAAGCAGGTCCACTTCTCAGCCTGTCATGAGACCCTGACGGCAGAAGGTGCGGCAGATCTGTACATCCGCGATGTGTTCAAGCATCATGGCGCCCCGGCCAAGGTCATATCAGACCGAGGTCCCCAGTTCGCTTCGAAGTAACTCCATGCGGTGTACAAGGGGCTGGGAATCGAGCCGGCGCTGTCCACAGCATTCCACCCCCAGACGGACGGCCAGACTGAGCGCTGGAATCAGGAGATCGAGCAGTACCTGCGTGCTTTCACAAGCCACAGGCAGGATGATTGGGCGAAGCAGTTGCCGCTCGCGGAGTTTGCACTGAACAACCGAGTTCACTCCGCAACCGGGCACTCCCCTTTCTTCCTGCATCAAGGGTACAATCCTGAGATCCAGGTTCGGATCAATCCGATGACCATGATGCCCGCTGCCGCCGATCGGCTTAAGATCCTGAAGGAGATTCACGATGACACGCGCTCTGCGCTTGAGCTTTCAGCCGAGCGCATGAAGGTGTACTATGATAAGCACGTGCAGGAGGCACCGGTCTTCACGCTGGGGGACAAGGTCTGGCTTGATGCCCGGAACCTTAAGCTGAAACAGCTGAGCAAGAAGCTTAGTCCCAAGCGCCTCAGACCTTATACCGTGCGGCGAAAGCTCGGAGACTTAGATTATGAATTGGTTCTGCCGAAATCAGTGCCGGTGCACCCGGTGTTCCATGTCTCCTTGCTTAGCAAGTACACGCGTAATGATATCCCGGGCCGGGAGCCGGAGGAGCTGCCTGCCATTGAGGTTGAGGGTGACGAGGAGTACGAGGTTGAGCGGATCAAAGACTCGAGGATCTTCCAGCGTCAACTGCAGTACCTCGTCAAGTGGAAGGGTTATGACGACTCACATACGTCATGGGAACTGGCGTGCAATGTTGCAAACGCGCCGGCCCTCATAGCCGACTTCCACCGGAAGAATCCGAACGCCCCTCGTCGCCTCAACGCTACTACCTTTGGTGGTCTCAACTTTCAGCCAATGCCTTCGCCGCTGACTGAAGCACGATGCCACTCCGGATGGGAGATGGGCAAGGGCGCCTCGCATGAGGTCATGCGCCGTTGAGGGGGGGGTAATGTCACGACTTGGTACGGCGTCTAGCCGTTTTTTAATTTTTCCTTTTCGCGGGCTCGAACCCGCGACCTCTGTACTACTTGCCTGATACGGACACGTCGTTATCTACTGTACGATAAGATTAGATGGGGCGGCAGCGCACGGCACAGCTCGGGCTCCGCTGACACAGCCGCTCTGACTCACCAGCCCCCGGGGCCGCGTCGGCATGCTGTGCACGGACCAGCTGCGCACGGACCAGCGCGCACAGCCTCCCCTAAACTCCCCCTGTATATAAGCCGGCCTCTGCTGCCCTAGGGACCTCAGTTTCGACCTCTTGTCCCTAGGTCAGTAAGCTCCCTTGTATTCTTACTTACCTTACACTAACTAATACATTTCTTGTCCCTAGCCTTAGGTTTGAGCCTCGCTCACCATCGCTTCGGTGAGAACCAGTCGAACGCCCCTTGCTTTTAGATATTCCCCTATCGCTTGACCTCAAGTCACGACATGCGGATTGTCTCGACACTGGGTACAGGACTGTCCGGACGTACGATGCGCAGGATGCGGAAAAGAAGCCCCTGGACACCTGGAGCGAGAGTGTGGAACCAGGCCGATGAAGCGACACGTATCCACATCACCTGAAGAACCTGCACGACACGTGGGGGTGGTCGTCGACAACGTGTTCCTCAAAGGAATCATCAACGAGGCGAAGGAGAGGAAGGAGAAAGAAAGGCAGACGAAAGCGATACCCATCCCTCCACCACGCAGCACTAACCCCGAACCCCCGACCAGTCCCGTCGCAGGACCTTCGCGCCCCCGCCCCGATACACCCGTCGTATTTCGCAAAGTCGACCCCGACTGGACACCCAACACCACTCAATGGACGTGGGACAGCTCCTGGCCGAATCAGAAGCACCTCTCTGGTGAGGAATGGAAGAACGTGGGGAGAAACGCGCACAACGAGTGGTTCGACGAAGAGGAGGACGACGGCGTAGATTGGGAGTTGTATGGAGATGGTGAGCAGTAAGTAGTCGAATGGGACTTCGACTCTGGCAGGGGGGTAATGAAACATTTGTCTTTCCGTTCTATTCCTTGTACTACTAGCGCACATACTGGTGCCTGTCTTAGCGCTCACCCGCAGGTTGAACATTATGTAGCTTACATAATGGGGTCCGTGCGCACTTCATGCCTGGTATCGTACCACTACATTTCTTCCTTTACTAACACGACCACATAGACACGATGGTCCGTGCGTAGCCGGTACTTGTATAAATAGTTGTACCATTAGTCGGTCGAACCCTAAGTTCGACCTGGTTATTCATTCAAGTCTCTGCTCCTCTTTGCTTGGGGTAGTGGTCATTCTCGACTTCCTCGCTCGATCTTCAGGACGACGCACTGTCCATAAGCCCTCGCTCGTCGTCTACGAGTCAGGCATTGATATAGGAGTATAGACCGTTGTATCACTAGCTGCACTGATACGAGCTGGGCAAGGAATGGAGTGGCCCAGGTATGAGCATCGCCATCAAGAAGGCTCAAAGCAACCTGCACCTTGAGCTCAATGGTTGTCAACACCGTGTTGACCAGCCAGTATATGCAGAGTTGGGATAGGAACTGGTCACACTCAATGACAGTTTTTCCATCATATCATAGGGGGAGTAGGAGTTTTAGTACCTCCCAGTCCAGAGGGGACACTGGGGAGGACATTACCAGCGATGAGGGGGACGGAGGACTGCCCGCGGGCAAAGGCAACTATTGTGACTGTCCACCAGGCGAACTTCAAGAGGAGCAAATGCTTGAGCAGCCTCGCAGCAGCGATGGTGGTGGAGGCAACGGAGGAAGTCGGGAGGTGGGGTGACGTATGACAGGGACTGGAGTCGAGAAGGAGATTGCTGACAACGAGCTGGCTCAAGTAACTGCTGGATTGTTGCGGGGCTCAGGCTTCAGGTTCCTTTCTAACCGCAGCCCCAAGGAGGGCTGGGGGATCACTTGAGGGGTCGCTGCAGGCTCTGCGACTGCCTCAGTTCTTCAAGGGAGATTGGGATCTTCTTGCGCTTGACCTGTACTAGTGACAGGTTGGGGAATGCAGGTGCCCAGGGAGGCTGGTTGGGATGGGACGGGAGTGACGTGGTAAGATGTAGATCTCGAGGTGCAGCATACTGAAGAGTGGAGCTGCTGGGGTGCTGGACTCGTCGGATAGGTATGAAGTGTCCTTCTTTGGCAGTGATAGAGTGAGGGTGCGGTTAGGGCATGGTTGTCTGTTGTAGTTGTAAAAGAGGGAGCCTTCTTCTGCAAATCATGCGACGTTGAACGTGTGCTCAAGTCCCATGCAGTTGAAGGCTTCATCAGCCATGGTGGTGGGGGGTAGGAAGGGGAGGTGCGCGTACTACAAAGGCCATACTAGCTAGCTTACGCTTACTGCACCCGAGATGACACCTGAGGTTTGCAGTTCACGTGGGGTCCAGTACTGCTTTTGGCTAGTATGCAGCAGGAATCTAGTCCACACGTCCGTGAGGACAAGTACCACCTACTGAAGTGCAGGTACTGAAGAGTTCGTTCCTTAGGTGGTGGCAATGTATTATAGGCTATCTAGGTATTGTATGGTATAGTAAGGGTGCACACCACCCAACCTGTAGAAAGTGATAGAGTTTGCTTGTGGATGCCAGCAGCGAGGGGAGTTTTGACCTAATGTCGCGACTTGGGGTCAAGCGACAAGAAGGAACAAACACGAAGGCTGGGGGTGTCCGACTGGTTCTCACCAAAGCGATGGTGAGTGATGCTCAAACCTAAGACTAGGGACAAGATAATATATTAGTTAGTGAAGTAAAGGAAAGGATACAAAGGAGGGCTTACTGACCTAGGGACAAGAGGTCGAAACTGAGGTCCCTAGGGCAGCAGAGGCCAGCTTATATACAGGGAAGATAAGGGCAGGCTGTGTACAGCTGGTCTGTGTGCAGCATGCTGACACAGCCCCGGGGGCCAGTGAGTCATCATGGCTGTGTCAGCAGAGCCCGAGCTGTGCCGCACACTGCTGCCCATCTAATCTAATTGTATAGTAAATAATGAGGTGTCCTAGTACAGAGGTCACGGGTTCGAGCCTGTGAAAAGGAAAAATTAAAAAACAGCTAGACACCATGTCAACTCATGACAGCTGTGCTGTGCACTGCTGTCCTATCTAATCTTATCTACAGGAGAACATGATGTGGTGGCGGGACTTGTCCATTCGAGCATACAGTACAGAGGTTGCAGGTTCGAGCCCATGGAAAGGAAAAAATTGAAAAATGGCTAGATGCCATACCAACTCGTGACAGTGGACAAGATATACACAGCATAGAATGCCAGTACTTATCATGTTGAAAACATAGCTACTATAGCTAGTATTCTGGTTTGAGGTTCTGCAAGGATCATGAGAGGCAAGTCTCACCCATTGAACAGTCCAATATAAGCAGATCTTTGTTACGATGGCAGTAGTACATACCTTGCATGACTGTAACACAAAATACACGAGGTATGCAATGATTTCCAGCAGGCTCACATAACAAAGTGCCACATGAATAGCCTTAGCTACTGTGACTTGGCTGATCCATATGGTGCAGCACTCTTGGTCGAAGGTAAGGGCGAAATCGTAGATGAAGAGGCCTCCAGGAGGGCATGCGTTATGACTAAGATGCCACCAGAGTTGGAAATGTAAAGTACTCGCCGATAGCAGCTACATTTATGTAACTTGACATCATGCTATCGTTGGAGAGGTACAACACGATTACAATTGACCAGAAAGAATACGGAAACAAGCTTACGTGTACTGAAGTAGTTGGATATTTTGGTCTTGGTCCGTGGCAGACATCTCCGCTCAATGTGAGCGTAGTGGAATTTCGAGTGTGTGATGTATGCCCCCATTTGCACCCGGTCCATTTATATGCTCTTCAGCATCAAGATCAGAATCAACTTACCAATTCGTGAAATTGAGAAGAGGGCAATGAAGGCAGATCGGTTGGTGAGCTGACGCAAAGCCTGTGCTACGCAAGCGCTGAAGACCTAATGTTATATGCCGAGGGTCAAACCAAAGAGGCTGATCGACATACCATTACAACCTGCCAATGAGGACATGAAAATGAACCTCGTTGTGAACGCACTTAGCCATTAGGCCTGTTGTTTTCTATGACATCGCCGAAGATTCGACCACAATAATACTGTCCAGTGTATGAACATTGAAACACAGCGACATTCTCGAGTATACCACAACTCGCCATTAGGCTCTGGAACTGAATATCATTTCATTTATCGTCACTGCGAATCAAAACACTCGTACGCAGATCTTGTCAACACCGGTTAGGCCCCGGCTGAGTACGAGCATTCACTGCCAATGACAAACCATAACTGTGGTTTATTTCTTCCGATGGTAATGAAGAACAAATATCGCCAAGCAATGGCCTTTGTCCTTCTGCTGCGGACATCAATGCGTGGAATTCCCGGACTATAGTATTCGCTCGCTTCTCCAAGAACACTGATGCACAGGTTGTGACTAGATCGCCTGTTAGTATGATCAACGTACCGCACAAAATCCCGGCCCCGGAGAGGGAGGGGGGGAGGGGGATGGGAAAACCATTCACAGAAACCTTCAGGGGAATCATCGGCATATAACATGCCGGTCCAGCTGTGGTACCATTCTATAATCTCTGAAACGAGATGAAAGCGGGCTATGATAGCGAGCATGAGTAGTTTTGCAAGGAAATTAAGCCTTCAGCACGTTCATGATGCAGTGTCCCACATGTCCATCTATGACGGGTGCTATGCGCTCGTTCGGCACAACGTCCATCGCAAAACTATACCACGCAACCCTTCAAATCAAAGTGAGACTTATCTGGCATATTCACTGCAAATAAGCTCATAGGAGCTGAAAGTAGCGCGAAGGATGACATTTTACAAAGCTCGCAATACCATGAAGTAGCCAACAGCAAGACGGTGGAAGGAAGGGAGGGAGGGAGGGATGTGACAGTATAATTGTGACGGCTCACGGCCGTCGTAGTCACAGGCCTTCTCCTTCCTTCCAGGACATCTTTCTCACCTAATGTGGCGACCCGTCTTTACCTACTTGTCGAAGCGATACCAGTGATACCTCATATTATCCAGAAATAATCTGATATACACCTTCCTGAGAAAGTGATCGTAGAGGTTATTGGACTCCGTAACGAACCTGAACACTGATACTCAGCGAATGGGACCATTTGATGTCGAGGACTCCACCAGACGTATGTCCTCACCTCACTTTGGAACGTACGACTCTACTTAGTTCTATTCCTGACGTGGCACGTTCACTACTCGAAACATGGCGCAGCGTCGTCAAGCTAGCTGTCACTTGTCAGCGAGACAGTCAGCACTAATTTGATGCGCTAAGGGGCATTCGTCTTTGTATCAGGTCGTCGTGATGTCTTTGAGGAATGTGCGCAAGCTATGCTCAATCACAACTAGAGGCAATTCAGCTTAGTCAAGGTCAATTGAGTGTAATTTCCATTCCTCTGGGAAGAGCACAGGTCTCATTCGCTTACCTTCTGTCTTCAGCTGACTTTCATTAATAAGAATGGTACTACTAGAGCGGCCCAGATGAGATGAAAACAGAAGGTCAGACCACTGTCATCCACACCATGTCCACTTAGTGATGTCACGTAAGATTCTTGTCCTCGTACCGCCAACAGTACGCCCATCCAAGAACCTGCCACATGCTTGGCATCGTGGTTACAGACCGTCGCCGTCTACCGGTAAATGCCTCCCTTTCGTTCAGGTTCCCACGACGTCGCAACTCTTGGATGTCAATGCATGAGCCACCGAGTTCTCACTAGTCGTACTATCTCTCGCTTGAGAGTCAACCGGGCGAGATAAATTTTCATTACACGCGCTATCATTTTGCCTAACAGGGCGCGGATCGTTGGTAGCTCCTCATGCAATCGCAGGAAATAGGGTACAGGAAGCTCAAGCAACGTACGTGCGAGCTCTACAATCAGGATATCACGGGACGAATCAGTTTATCTGTTACAAATCGTTAAACGGGGAACAAAGTACTGATGTGCCGTGCACTTTGCGGCTCCCAGAACCTTCCGACATGATGAAGGTCACATTGCTTCCACTTCAGGCTGATCATCTTCTGTCAGATCAAGATGCGCCCATACAGTAGGTGGTCCTGGTTCGCACAAACTCCTCGCAGGTCGCGAATATCCATTTCATGTCATGGTGCCATCTGCCCAAGGGTTTCATCATACACGCTAACAACTGATCTCCGAGTGTCAAGCTAGCCATTCGTCATTTCCCATGTCCGGAGATCCATATTGCCTGCGAACTGTGCTGGTTGCGCCTCGGCATTGCTTCGAGTGAAATATCGAACTTTGCACAGCCGAGAGTCATGAGCCGACCAAATCTACCCAGACGGTCCCAAGTTTCCGACATCTGCATGAACACCAACCCGTCACATCCCCCATGTTCTGTCAAATGTTCCGAAAATCGACTGGAACCCGACGTGCTCGCAATGCATATACCTGGAGTCCTGGGCGCCTAGCGAATCGAACCCCTTCGCCCACGACCTTTCTCAACTTTTCATGGTATAATCATACAGTATATGTACCTTAATGCGGACCGCTTCACAAGACATCTGATAGCATTCTCCTACTTGATAAATATAACTCATCCGTCTCCTTCTTAGTCGTTATGTATATGCTTTGTCTCAATCACAAAATGTTGCTCGCGTCTCTATGTGCTAGTAAACAGCACAGCGTAACTGCGCTAGAAATGGGTATCCTTGGGAAAGTAGGAAGCCAAACAGAATCCATGACCACCTCGCTTCGCGCTCGTCATGCAGCTGATGCGATGTGTGGTTGCTCAAAGATACATTGGAATTTCCGAAACCAATACTACTTATACAATAGTCCCTTTGACTTCTACTATAGCACTGCGAGCGACAACCTTCTGATGCCACGTGGGTAACGTAGCGTAGTTATCAAAGACGAGACATGGAGATTGAAATTGGGAAACAGCTAGATGACGACACTCGTCGCAGCAGCCTGTACTCACGAATGAGTGGCTGCGCGAAATGGTACAGCTACTATACAAGAGGTGGAACGAAGAAAGCGGGTGATTGCAACACAAAGCGAGAACAGTTTCTAGGTCCGCGAGTAGTCACGGCTCACGACGCACTGCCGAGGTCGGGGAAAATTCGAAGGGGACAGACGCCGTGGCATGCCGGGATACGCAGATCAACACGTGCTCTTCATTCCCAAATGCCAACGGCAGCACTGCGTGCCAACTGCCGAACGAGAGTATGTGTATCAGCATCTACACAAACACATTTACGCAGACGAGTAACACCCACCTAGTGTCCAGCATCAGTTTCAGTAACTGACTTGGCGTTTTGTGTTTGCGGATCAGGCGATGGCGTAGTTGGGGGAGCATCCGGACGCATCCTCTTCGACTCGCCATTTCCACCAATAGGCGACCTCCCATCGTCGTCAAGCTCCTCAGAAGACCGCTTCCGCAGCCTCTGAGGCGACGGTGAGATGGCCATCGGCGTTGGCGAATAGGACCCGGTCTGCCGCCGACGCTTCGGTGGGGTTCCACTGCGCTGGTCACGTGTCAAGATGGCGTCTGCGGGTGTATCAGCGTCCAACTCCCTTGACGGCCGCTTGCGCGGAGTAACAGGGGGTGCAGGTGTCTCCGCCACCGAAACGTCGTCAAGCTCCGACTCACCCTCCTCCTCCTCCTCCTCCTCTTCCTCCTCGGCACGGAGCATCTCGGTCGGAACCTCGGGGATCTTGATCTTCACAGCTAGCTGCACCACATCCTGCGCGATCGGAGCAAAGTCCTGCGCCTGCTGAGCCGCCGCCCTTTGTGCCGCCGCGGCGTGCGCTTTCAAGATCCGCCTTTGGCAGATTGAGCAATAGCATTCATACAAATGCGCGGACGCGTTGCGCCATATCTGATCGAAAGCTTAAGTCAGATCGTGATCACGACAATCGAGGAACGAATCGACGTACATATCGGAACGCATCCAGACTATAAAGAGGCAGCGGCGAAACCTTCACGGGGACGTATGGTATCGGATGGATCAGTGTGGGCGATCTCGGCACAGGCACGGAAATCGCGGGTGCGCTTGCGGCTGTCGGTGATGATAGCGATTCATCGTCTTTCCCGCTGGAGCTACCGCTGGGAGGCGGGGATGGGGTTGTACCGAGTGTAGTCGTCGATAAGACAGGGCTTGTCAAATGCGAGCCGCCCGATCGCGACGATGACGAGTCGTCCTCATCCTTCTCCCTCTGCCTCTCGTGCTCTCTCATGTTCGCGCGCCGCTCAAGCCAGTCCACCCCTGTGAACCAGTATGCTTCGTCCCTCAACGCCGCTACAACGTCATCTAGGCTCATCGACGCCGCCACAACTGCCGGGTCCTTCCCATCTGCGTAGCATTCCGCTTCGATCCGCTCTACGATGTTGCGCATCGCCGGCATTAAGATGTCCTTCATATGTTTCATAAACGCTTGACAGGCCATCGACGACAAGAGCTCTGATGGCGGCGGAATCGGCTGTGTGGTTTTCGGACGAGGGTGCCCTATGGGTTCTCCGTCTTCTGCATTCTCTCCCTCATCGAGCGCTCCTTCGAAAACAGCACCAGGCTGCCACGGACACGGATGTTCTGCAGGGAGCACGACCGTGCAGTTCTCATGCTCGTAGAAAAGGTCGGCGGGATTGACCCAATGGCCGTCAAGGATACGACTACGGATGTAGTCCGAGACTGCGATCTCGCGGATGCCCGCCGCGTCTTCGGTGATGCTCATAAGCTCAGCGTCGTCCTCCTCTTCGTCGCTGAGCTCGTCTTCGCTCAAGTAACCAGCTTGGCCGGCTTCTGTTCGCGAGACATAGCGCGACGCGGCGAGAGCTTGTGACAGCATATCGTTGAGCTTGGTGTTCTTTTTGTACCAGTACTTGTCTCGCGCGACCGCAAGCACGTCTGAGATCGTCCCCTCGCCCAGGTCGACAAATGTTTCGATGGCCTGTCGAGTTTCCCAGTCGTCGCTGACTAAGCTCGGCCCGCCCACGGCCTCCGCGTCGATTGGGCTAAGCTGCGCCCGTCGCCACAAGCCCTCGCTCCGGCATGTCCGGCAAGTCGTATCGATTCCGGGCCACATTTGGTCGTCTTCATTCTCGACACAACCCATTGCAAACCCTGCAGCATACTCCATCTCACCGTCCATCTGGGATGTTTCCTTCAGGCAAATGCCGCAGTATGTGGCGCGTCGGTGGTCCTTGCAGACGAGGATCGTACCTAGAAATGGCGTGGCGACCATCCACTTCGCGGAGACGAGGCCGTTGGAGGTGGAAGGTGAATTTATGCGGCACACTGCGCAAGAGACATTCATAATATTGCGGAAATGGCGGTGTGATGTCAGTCGAAAGGGCACCGCCTGAGCTGACCCTGCTGTGGCGGAAGGCCGCACGAACGAATGTTGTATCAGGGCGTCTTGAGGGTCGATTACAGTGCACGCTTGACGCCAGAAACGGTGGGCTTCAACTGGAGAGATAGATACATGAGCGCGTTCATATCGTACGGTATTTCAAATTGAGTAGATCATAGCAGGCAACGCGTGAGTGAAGCCGTTCATTCACCACAGCGACCTTAGGTGCCGGCGGATGAATACGAATGATACAAGACCGACATGTAGGGCAAACAACGATGCGATACTGAGAAAGCTCTTCACGCACTTGGGAAGAGAGATGAGACGCAACGTGGAGATCGTCGTCTCGACTAAAGAGTGCGAAATGAAACGGGGTGCTCGGCATTATTGGGGCTAACCACTGCGGAACAGTACGGTCGTAGAGATGAGATACAGCCCGCACAGATATCCTGTGCTGGCGCAGGCTGTGCCCCAAGAAGCCTCGAGCAACTCTTCAGTAGAAATTCACTCAGCGACGAAACAATGAGGACAATGCACCAGTCAAGTGTCGGAGATAACGTCAGACAGATTATGATGTTGATACTCACGCGCAGCATACCAGGTCGGGTATAACGACATGAGCTTCTCAATCTCAAGGACGTCGCGGAGCAGGCCATAGACAAGTCGGCCGGGCCATTGCGTTGAAACTTGCCATGTTCCAGGGCAGAAGCCTTCAGCGGCCAGGTTCAGGAGGTGGTAGGTCGCGATCAGTCTAGTGCCAAATACGCGCATTCAGTCGACGGTGGCGCGGCCAATTCAGACGACGCCGACGCCACGGGGCGCGACCAGCACGTACCGTATGATCTCAGGGGGAAGGTGCGGCCAGAATTTTGTAGATTTGCCCTTGTAGACGATGTCCTTTCGCGCGTCGTCGTCGCCGGACATGACAATGGTGAACGGCATGGGCGCAGGCGTCACAGACAGTATGGGTGGTGACAGATCGCGACAAGCTGTGACAAAAGCAGCACAACCCCGCCCAACCGCAGCCACACACTTTCCCACGCACGGACCATCCAACTTTCTTCTTATAGAAATGCTGCACGTGAGTGTGTGCCGCCGCGCGTCAGCCCGCAACTGCAAATATCTGTTTTCAACTTGGGCTTTCTACACGTTCAAGTTTCTGCGGCAAGAGGGAACCCTGTGCACGCGAGGAAATACCGTTAATAAATATCTCAGACTAACCTAGTGGTATTTGCGCCTTTCAAGCAGTCGTAGCCACGCGTGTCTCAGCCTGGACTTTCCGATGACAAGAATGTTCATACGACGCGTAGAGGTTTGCTCGCGGCCGAGCCGACGCTGAGTGCGACACGCCGGGCAGCGAACTCATGAGTGCTAGCTATAGCTATCTGCTGCTCCAGGATGACTGTCGTGCTTGAATGGAATGCTTGACGAAGTCACAGCCTCACGGCTCGTCGTCGGGTCCGACCGAGCCTCTGCATGTGGTACCTCGACTTCCTGAGAACTGGTATGCCTCAACTATTATCAAACATTGATGCTGATGTGACGCTCACCGATAGATAACGTTCAGACGACTACACGTTGCTCCACAGGCACCGTCAAAAGTTCCATTCCAGCCCAAGTAGCAAGTTCAGCATTCTCACATCTCTACCCGCGAATGAATAGCATTCTATCAGAGCGCAGGTGGCAAGAAGATACGAGGACTGCTACTTTTGACAGCGAGCGGCCATAAAATGATTGGCACTTCCTATGGAGGCTTCGAGTGGCTAGGTGCAGTGCGCAGCACGTCGGAGTCGGAGGTATACCTCCGGCGCAGAGCGGAATGAAGAGACTGTTCTTCACTGCCGTGCTACTCTTAGAGATATGTTTCCGCCGCTCGCCACCGCAGTGATTTTGGGCTCTCCAGAAGGTGACCAAGGCAACCCGCCGCGAGACAGCAGACAAAAGTTCACGCTATCTTGTCAGTCCCGTGTTACCCTCCGCATTGTCTTTCATTATCAGGATCTAAGAATAATAAGGGAAGGGAAGCTACAGATATAAGAAAACGCCGAGGATTGAAAGAAGAATGTCTGTTGACTCGCTCTTTCCACTAACTACGTAGAAGGTCGACTGTGTACCAAATGGGTCACATCCGTGCAACATTTCAAGCCGCATAGAGATACAGAGCTGCTGTCAGGTGATTACAAAAACAAATTCCAAAGTCAGCTAATAGTAGACAGATGGTGGCGGGAGTTTATTGCTGTCTCTTTTGTTAGCGGACGCATGACACAAGATAATCTCCATCGCACTCACCAAGCTCCGGGTCTTCATGCGCTAGGCATAGCTTCCAGACACGACTCGCGCATGTGCCTTTGCAACGCATCAATTCTCGAATATTTGCGGCCGCACTGTGGACAGGTGCGTGCAATGCTCTTGAGGTGCACCGACGCGACGTGTTTACCGAAGCCTTCGTACAGCAACTCCGTGCTACACGACCCGTTGTCCTTCAACCACATGCAGACGCCGCGGCGCCGGTCATGCCACGCATTAAATTCGTTGTCGAAGTGATACTGCTTCAGATGCCATGCGATACCGGCAGCAGAGAGATCGGTGAGTCTGACACTACATGGAGAGCCCCAACGGCACTCAGCCGATGGGGACGGACCGGCTGCTACAGAAGGTGTTTGGGTGGGCTCGAAGATGGTTGCGAAGTCAAAAGTAAGCGGAGGAGTAGAGTAGTAAATTTGGTGCGTGTCACTGGCATGACGCTGCGGGTGGTATTGCACAATATCCGGATCATAGCCGACGTTGGGATACTGGTATCTGGAACATTAATCAGTCAGTCTATCACGCCACAGGTTTTCGACGACGAACTCAGCGCTATTGTAGATCGCTTGCTGTGGAGCCTGACCGCTGCTAACCCCATGATACCCTTGGCCGATCGGCTGCGGATTCCTCGTGAGAGAACGTCAGGACGAAGCTAGATGAGTTCATTCTGACATACTGAAAGCACATCTTGCTCGTATGGGTTGCTCGGATTGAGGAGAAGGAAATGCATGGTCTTGACCGGTGAGTACGCCCATGTCTTTTATACTAGAGCACGGCACGACGACCGGGTTGAGTCAGAGCGCGATGCTGGGCTCGGACTCAGGTCTAGGCAGAAGATTTCATGGGATCGGTAATGCCCGCCGAACAGATGGATGCCGTACAAGCACAGGCGCAGAGTAAATGAGGTACAAGGCTAATCGGCCGATCGAGCCACGCTGACATTGGCCAGAAGCATTCACACTTGTGTTTCGCAGTGCCAGCGGACCGCTTACACAACCGGTGAATGTGATATTACTATGACCCGCGGGCTAACAATTGCGTTACAGAGATAGCTATGTGCCGCATATGCAACAAGTCGACGACCGATCAGCCGAAAGACCTTCGTCAAGTAGCAAGACTTCGAGAAGGTCTCATGCAATTTAAAATCAGGGGACGACTCGCAGCAGCAAGTCACAGACTGTGCGAGCCTTGCGATGCTGTAGAATACAGCTGCCGGCAACTTTAAGTCGGCGGTAGTGTCCTATTGGACAGTTGCAGTGTCGGGGATTTCCTCGCACGAAATGACAGCCGGTAGAGTGCCGTATAGCAACTACCGATGGACTTAGGGTCCATGAGATCCGATAGCGGATGGCCGTCCGCCCCGCCCCCTGACCGAAGGGTAGCGAGGTAGAACGAAGCAAAAGATGGGTTGGCGGAGCTTGTAGTCAAATCGTTGCGGCCACCATGCTGCAAATGCTGACAGTTCTGCATGATCATGATGATGGTCATCGGCGCTCCGAGACAGAGGTAGGTTCTTCGCGCGCTCGAATATGAAGAGCTAACAGAGATAACCCGCGTAAAAGCCAGTAGCAGAGACTCGACGAAATATTTGGGCCCCTTGCACCGTCATGGCCTCGTGTCGCGATAATGACACAGCATATTCTGTCGTAAGGAGTTCTCCGAGGTGTGCCATATAATCTTCTTCGCCAAGCCCCAATGGCGAGTGGCGGGCGGTGTGTGGTACACGGTACGACGGGATCGGACGGCTACAGCAAGGCGTCACTAAATGGCTTCCAGTTCTGGCAGACTAGGTTTTAAGTAGCTTCTGCAACTCTTGGTGACTTATCCATGTTCACCGGCTGCAACCGCAAAACTGTACCATTCCAAACCTTGCAGAGCTTGAGCAACCGAATGGGCTGCTTGTAAGACTGTCTTCGTAGAGACAGACACCACAGATGTGTATATCCTAATTCCATACCACGTCGACATTTGTCCTTCCGATCAAGGTTAGTCGAAATTGCGCGTTTCACATGACGAACACCGAAGGGTGAGAAGGGTTCACTAAACGCTCAAGACCGCCATTACTGCAAATATCGGGGTTCCCGCCGGTACATATCATAGAGTCAGACGGCTGAATATACGATACAAACCGGAGAGAAGATGTCTTGCGAACCAATGACGCACCAGCGCTCTGGGACTTGGGGGCCGCCGCGAGCTCGTAATTAGGCCACCTGACTATATGCCATTCGTATGTGTATGACCTTGCGGCGCCACGGGACGCATAGTCTTCGAGCATCGTCTCAACCAACTTTCCAATATCTTGGACTCTATTTAGTGTCTTCCTCGTTATGCCGTAGTCGACAATACTAGCAGCGTTTACGCTCCATATATGACGCTCAGTAGGGTAGTCCGAATATCAAGTGTCCATCCTGATGCATGGATATCCGACCAAATATTCGGCAAGTATGCATGTTGTCTCATTTTAAAGCTCATCATTGCGAATGGAAGGCAGAAATGTCCAAGCTATATCGAAGGGCCACACCATGTGGTTATTCTGCTTTTATCGCAACCCGCAATCTGTCGCAACTCATACCGTCTGTGATGCCTGTACCCATGCCGTTCACCATTGTTATGTCAGAACATGCGCGAAAAGACTACAAGGGCAGACGGAAACGCGTTGGCTCGGCCGACTCGTTTATGGCCCGCTGCTCCGCGACGTCCTTGAATCGAGAAGTCCATATCGTTATACCCGGCCTCGTATGATGCGCGTGAGTTTTAAATATTTACCAGTGTGGCTCTCTGTTCGACATTGTTTCCATAATTCAACCAACGCATCGGGTCTTGCTTTTTATCACGAACTAGCAGCCAGATAGTGTTTGCTTAAGTTGCCAAGATATTGCAATGTGATGATTATAGGACAATAGGGTATATGATAACTAACAACCGCCAACAGATCATGGAAATACAGGCATTAATCACTTGTGTAAACAGGTGCTGTGTGTAAGAAATAATGTCCAAGTGTCTCATTGAAAAAAGCTCGCATTCGGTGGATTGTCGCTATATGAGTCCGACTCTTGACACAAGGTTGACTGGTGCATGCTCGGTCACCCGACCGCATCATTTGATCACTGATGACAGTGGACACAATGATGAGCATATAGGTATCAGATCGAAAACACGGGCGACGCCTACCAGTCTCATACGGACATCCCCCTGCATGACTGGCGCAGATGCCTCTGCAACGAGTCGATCCTCGCGAATTTGCGGTTGCAACGTTGGCATATACGCGCAATGCTACCCAAGTGGACAGATGCAATGTGCTTGCCATAGCCCTCGTAGAGCATCTCCTTTCCGCACGGGCGTCCATTTGTTGACCATTGGCAGAGCCCTCGGCTTCGGTCGTCCCACTGATTGATCACGTCATCGAAGTGATATTCTTTGAGGTGCCGAGCGAGACCAGCAGGGGTGCAATCTTCTAGTGGGTACCCGCAGGGGCCCCATAGACATTGAATCGCCTCTGTCGTCATTAGCATCGCAGCCGACATTTCAACAGGTTGCAGAATCCGGGGCTGCCAATGGCCGTTTTGTGGGACATCGTATCCATGACATTGATAAGGGGATATCGGAGACAGTGACACGATGTTTTGTCCGTATATGGCTGTATCTGGATGGTTCCTACGAAATCCCAAATATTAGTTCGCAGCTATGAATGTCATACTCAGCGATTAACTGACATTGCGAGTCCGTAAGATGTCTGCGATGAATCATAGATTGCCCGTGTGACAATCTGGTAGTTGAACTCATCCCATGTTTGAGGCGAAGGTGGAAGACTATAATTGCTAACAAGACTTGAGCCGGGCACATGCCTTAGATGATTGAGATGTACTCACTAGGGGAACATCTTCAGAACTGGCGGACTGGTAGTGATTGAACGTGCGGGACGATGAAAGCACCTCTCAAGTTGACCTCTCTATATACAAACAGACATCAATTGTGGTCAATCACAAGCGCAACGACCGATCGTTTCCTTCGGGAGGGCCTGACAGTTGTCAGCGCAGGTAACGGAAGCAGATATGGGGGTCCCCGGCATTATCCATCTGCATCAAACGAAGGCGGACACCGGCGCAATGAGTATAGAACTGACAGACCCTCGATCGGTGGTGCACACAAAATTACAATGCTAAGCGAGAACAAGTATTTGTAAACACGTTGCTGATAGATCGAAGAGCTGATACCGAGCTTGATCGGAGGCTATCCAGGCCTTCTCGAGAGTACCAATTCCTCGGAGACGTTCGTCCTAACGGGAAATTATGCCAGCGGAGAGCTGTGGCGAGATTGTATGAGTCTCACATCAGCATTGCACAACCTCTAAGATAAAGTATTCACCTGCTCGCAATCTGTCAAACACTAAAAACTGCAACGGAACCACTGCTCTATTATTTCGCTTGAGTGTGGTCGAGGTACCTTGATGCCCCTCATTGCTCTCATCTAAAACTCGGCGTCGGCATACATGGGAATATACTGTCCCACAATGGAGGGAAGCTGTCGAATCAGAACAGGGCAACTTATACCTGCCCAAAGGCACGGCCAGACCGGCAACACAAGCCTTTAATGAAAAAGAGCCTCTTTGGCTCCGCAAGCACCGTACAAGCTGTGAGCTCACTGACATTCAACAATCAATTGGGAAAATCCGAAATGTCGTGGATGACAGATGGAAGATCGACGGAGACTTTCGGTGACTCAAAATACACGGATGTGACAGAGCCCCAAGGCTGGAACATCATGGGAGGATTCAACATTATTATCCCATGTGGCCGTCAGATCTGCAACATAAAGTCCATATGACGAGGATTCCTCAACATCATATCAGAGTGACAATGGCAGTACAACTGCCGTAAGAGAGCACAGCACCTGGGAGCGCGTCCCCGGGTCCCGCGGCGTCGACGGCGCTTGTGTCAAATGTAATGCCTTTGTCGTATGACAGTATACGGCTCCAAATCGGAGACTCCGGTACACCATATGATGACCGTGTAGCAGTACATCGCAAACTAAACAGAGATAGGAGAATACCAAGTGCACCGAGCCCGAGATTCATCGGAGGCAATGTTACCGGCGGAACAAAGACAGCATCACAACGTGCTGTGGGCCACCTGCGGCAGTGAGCTTCCTTGCTGAATTAGATACATCAAAGGAATACGGGTCTAGTGCGGAGGAATTACGGTCAATTCTGGTGCGACGAACATACAACACGCGCCATATTAGGTTATGGGGCAGAGCCTTGCCAGGGCCTGACAATATGAAAAGAATCAAGTGCTTATCGGTCGATCACACTCACACGGAACAAACACTAGCTGCTCCGATCCTATCTGACAGTCTCGGATACGACTTCATTGGAACAAATGTCGTTTGTACTAATCCCTGTCTTTTTTAAAGCGTTGAACCGAATAGTTGCTGACGGCACTGCACGTACCCTCGATGTCTGAACCAAGAATTTGGCAATTCAAGGTGTCCTAGAGGTTGCCACTCAACTATCGTCCAGGGGATATCGTCGTGCAGGATGTACCAGCGACTCTCTGGCAATGCTAATACCTGGATTTGGAAATCGGGAACCGCATGTCGGGATGTTGCAGAATTAAGAAGTTGCCTCCAAGCCGGTCATCATCGGGACACAGGTCCGCGTAGATCAAGCAGACTGTAATCAAGGAGTGATTTCTTCAACCTGACTCGTCCTCTTCAAGCTGGATTTAAGGGTCATACTTGCACATTCTGCTGGCGAGCGGCCCTACTCAGGCGGTGTGGTCAGAAGCGAATTGCGTACCAGCACAGGATCTCTGATGCATAGCAGATTATACACGTCTGATATCAGAATGTGGATAATTGACAGTGGTCCTCGGCAGTTATTCCATTTTCATCAAGGAAGCTCCAGCCAAAGAGACAACAGCTTGCTGAAATTGGGGGTGCCGACACCAGTGACAGGATCCCAGCCGGGCTCCGCGTAAAAGCCCTCTGTGCCACAGCCTGGGTTGGTCCCATTGGTAATATCATTGAATGCTGCCATGAACGCCGGTGTGTAAATCTTTTCCCCAGCACATTGGAACAGTCAGATCAGTGACTGGGAAATCCCGAAACCAAATGTGGACACGTACCGTTGGGTTTATGAAGCCTATTGGACTCTTGCTTGCAGCTAGACGCGCATCGTTGATCGCGGAGAAAATAGACGCGGAGACGGGGGAGGAGCATGAGGTCCCATAAACGAGCCAAAACGAGCCGTTAAGCGCGACGACATAGTTGGCCCTGAACAGCGGGAGAAGTCAGATTCTCAGTTCAGGTTTCCGAATAGTCGGACTATGGAATCTACACGTCTGGACAAGCCTAGGACATGCCACTCACCCGTTCGCCGAGATATCGGGGAATCCGCGTGATGTCCCCGAGGAATTGTAGATGGTTGGCGCGTACGGAGGTGGATAATCAGCCAGATATGTTTCAACCGCGGTCTTCTGGTACGACGGCATTGCGAACACGTTTGAAAAGCCACCGCCGGAGTAGATGACTTGCTCGCAGGCACTCTCAGGTTCATACACCTGCGACGCGACAACAATCAGTTCCGTAGCGTCGGAACCAGATATGGCAGTACCACATACCGTTGATCCTGGATTCACTTGTGTGGCCCCGACACTCGTGACGTACGGGCATGTTCCAGGGAAGGAAGGGTTAAATCTAGGCGCGCCGACAGCCTGGGTTCCGTTGGCTTCCAGACAAAGGTCGCCGTTGCCAGCGACCCCGTCGTCACCAGAAGAGTAGAGGATGGTCATGCCCATCAACCCGAGCTGTTTCATTGCTATGAGCCACACCTGTGTCCGTGGCGTTAAGACGCTGGCATTACCTTTGCATATTCGGCACATTGGCGCTCCTCATACGCGGGCGTCAAGTCCGCCTCGTTGTACCCGTAGGATGTAGACATGACATATGCTGGCGCCACGGTGCCACAATCCTCAGGACCTAGAGTTCAGGGTATGTCAATGCCATGCATAGTGCACGCGGAATGCCGTGAAGCATTCTACCTTCGTAACCACCGTATGGATCCGGGTAGATAGAATCGAAGTTCGGGTCATCGCCACCCTCAAACGTGCAATAGGATGCATCGAGTGCGTCCAGCAAGTTGCCGAATGAAGCACCTTGAGGGGTATCATCCCCACATCAGCACTGGTCGGCTTGAGATAGACATGCAGCCACACCCACCTTCAACGTCGTCTCCCGCCTGGTACAGTGTAACAGGTTGTGCACCACCAACCAGAGTCATAGAATATTGCAAGTCTAAGTTCGATTCCCCATTATAGTCGAATTCCGTCTGGTTCGTTTGAACGAAGCCTATGCCGCAAGGTGGTCCCCAACGCGAGGTGAGATACACTAACGAACGGATGCACCGCAAGCACTCACCGCCGTCTATGCTGACCATGATAGGCCTCTCGCCGACCTGAGTCGGAGAGAATTCCTCAAAAAACATATCCATGTCAGTCGCGACGTATGCTTGTGGCGTATACTCCACTGAACATGCGGCGTCAGGCCTCCCACAGATATACGAAGACATTCTGCTCACCAATGGCAAGTGAGTTGGCGTGGGGTACTGCTGGCGCATACTCAAAGCTGTACAGGGCGCGCAAACATGCAGGGGTGATTTGCGCATCGCAAGCGGACAGATTGGCAGCGACGGCCTAGTAGCCAATGCTCAGTATCAGCACCGCGACGAATGCGAGGTAAGCCAAGAAACTCAACGCTCACCTCGATCGTTCCCGAAGTCTTCGGGAAGCTCGTGCCAAAGCCCGGCTGGCCAATCGCATGCGCGCCGGGGCTGCTCTCCCCGACGCTGCGCTTCTCGACGCGGGACGGCGCTCGCTTGCGCTTGACGTCAAAGTGCAGCGTCGGCGTCACGATCTCGACGTGCCTCGACACCTCTTCGGGTAGGTGATACTTCTCATGGCAGCCAACGTGCTCGCTTTCGTCGTTGGCGAACTGGTACACATAGTACTCGGTCCGCAACAAACGCTCCGCCTCCTCGACTGTCACGTTCGCCGCTAGCCACCCGCGGCCCGCGCTCAACCTCACCCTCTCAAGGTCAACGCCGCTCTCCACGAGCCACGTGCGCACGGCGTCTACGGATTCGTGCGTAGGACGGAATGTCTCCGCGACCTTAGCCGGACTCCAGTGCTTTCCGTAGTTTGGCGACTCGGGATGCGACACGTCCATGAGGAACGCCTCCAGGTTGTCCAGATTCGGCTGCGCGAGACCGACGCGGAAGGGCAAGACCATGCCGGGATCAGCGCGGCGCACGGGCGCCCAACCGGCGGGGACGTCAACGCGGGATTCGTGTACAATGTGCGGCGAGGAGGACGAGGGCGCGCCAAGAACGCAGGGACCTAGGACCAGAAAGGCCATGGCGCTGAAGGCGAGCAACATTGCGCAGGATAGCGGGCTGGTGCAGCGCGGCTCATTGAATCTGGCCGGTACGGTCAGGTTATATGCGTCCAACTTATGAATGGCCAAGCGGCACCCGCAGACCTATATCGAGCGCGTCCGGGGCCTGGAGAGATAGCGCTGACTCAGGTGGGATTCAAAGCTGGCCTTGAATGAAGCGACCGCGTGGGTCGCAGGGAACGATTGCAGCGGCGGGAGCAGTGGGCAATGTGCAGCTATGTTGGCGGGGGACCGATGATCCTTGCTAGGGGATCATAGCCAGGGGGCGTCCATTATGGAGGTGGTCGCGGTTGCTAGAGGTATATCTGGCGGAGAAGTGAGCTCGAGTCGGGCGACTCCTGCAACACTATTGCGCTGGGAGGGTGCCGTCGAGCCCATCCAGAGCGTCATAAGGGCGAATCGGCATCCCACCAGGTCACCTGGGCTGGGCGTGAGTGTCCAGCATCGCGCGGTGTGAGGGTGTGAATCCAACTTACCATTCTGATAAGCCCGTTTATTCCTGTTCGCAGGCACGAGAACCCCCGGGTGCCTGAAGGTGGTATAGTTAGCAAACACATCTGAGCTCACAATAGGCCATGGAGACATCTGGGCCGATGAACATTCGCTCGGGACGTTCTGTGTACGCACAGCTGGACCACACATTGATACATCATCCGCGCGAAGGCGGTTCCTTCATGAACGCGAAGGCGGACATTGCCCTTTCAAAGAGCGGATAAGAGCAGCGATGTACAGCAGAAGAAGGAATGCACAGAGAGTGTAAATGACGGCAAAAGGTGAGGGAACGCACGTTAATGTGTCTCAACACAATGTGACCTGTCAGACGAAAAAGCTATCTCATCCAGGAGATTGGAGGAATGACATACGTACACACCTCAGACCACGGTGTTTCACTACATACTAGTAAGAGCAAAAGTGAGTGACGTCTAAACCGACTACTACAGTCGGCAGACCGACGTCGTGGCCCGCTTCCAAGGAGCGAGCAGGTTTCCCGAAATGACTCGGGATATTTGCGGTCCGATCAATCATGTTAGCTTCTGGACCAATCGTGCGGGCGCAAGCTTGTCTGCCGACTGCCCGGCAAGGCATGATATCATTTAAAACGGTCAATTGCAGGATGGGGCGCGGTGTACGTACATCGTCCATTGCGATGATCCGACTACAAGGAGCAATGGTTTTGCCGGCCGCTGCGAGGATAGCTGCGCACTCGCTCTGCGCACAGTATGAACAGTGTATGTCTTATCTTGCCCTTTTCAGCGTGTTTACGTCCAAGGGGACAGAGATCATCCTAGTTGAACGTTGATGACTGTTCACGAGTACTTACGCACGCGGGGTTTATCTGCCAGCGCATGCAGTTGCATATCTCCCAGCAGCAATATCAATATTGCCCGTTTAGCTCAGTGGTAGAGCGCGCCACTCGTAATGGTGAGGTCGGTTGTTCAATCCAGCCAATGGGCAAATGACCAATATTTCGAAACTTTTTCCCACGCCCGCATGATCTAGATGCCTGGTACACGACTGTCATTGGCAAAACGACCACACAAATGTTCAACGTTCAACATTCAACGCTGTCCCACCGACGCTGGACTTTTTTTGCGACCCATGTGAAAGCTCCGGGCGAGACTGCTCATCAATTTCTGTCTGTATCAGATGCATCGCCCGACACCTTCGTGGCTTCCGAACTACACATGTTTCTGGCCGCCAGGTGCTGACACATGCCCATACCGCCATGCACCCCACTCCACTGGCTCTGTATACTCTCCGCGGGCAATGACCCGACCTGCATCGCGGTGGCCATCACCGAGGAAGTTTTCACCACGACGCCATCGGGGTCAAGGACGGGCGGCTCTTCTGGTGAATGGGCGATATGTAGGTGATATCCACGGCGAAGTGGTGCGCTGACAGCGCTACGCGCGGTCCACTAGCCGCAGGGCGCCCCGTGATATCACTGGGCTTCGCGAATCTGCAGATAGAGTTGGGACACCCGCACCCTGCGGGGCATGCGCGACGGGACACCTTCTGGCTCTCATGCACTGTCGCCGTGCCCTGCAGATGACACCATCCTGTGGCATCTGCTATCGTCTATTGTGGTCATCGGCACCAGAACCTATCGTGAATGGTTCCCGCGGGGGCGACGCTGCCGTATGTTCTCTGGGCCTCTCGCCGGCAATATGACATGGTTTGCTGCTGCTGCAAGTGAACCCCCCTCCGTTCGCCCAAACGCCCGGTAGCGCATCGACCGCGCGTCTCGAGCCGCTAAGGACACATAATCACCGAGATCATCTCTCATCGTCGCCTTCCGATTGGAATGCGCCTGGGAACAGCATCTGGGTTAGCAGGTCTTCTGGCCCGATACGTGCGATTGGCTCTGTGTTTTGTCAGCCTGCGGTCTGCGGCATTCAAGTCCGCGAACGTCCGTTGCGCATCGCACCGACGGCGTGCACAGGTGTGTAACACGCTGGCCCTTGTATTGCTGGGCGGCGATCTGCACCAGCGCAGTGTCACCAGCGTGGCTGCCTTGTATTCTCGCTCCACACGCGGCTGTGCCCATGCAAGAAAAACAAACGGAGGGCGCGACGCTGGCGGGCGGATCATGGGCCGTGGTCGACGTATGCGCTGTGCAGGAAAGCCTGAGGGTGCAGCAGAGGCGGGACTGGATAACCCGTCGTGTTTAGGCTCGGGAACCGGCGGCCGCAGCGGCTTCGCGGCTTCTTCGCCCAGGCAATGTATCCATACCTGGGCACCGGCTGGCCGGACGTTCTGTTCGGCCCATGCGCGTTCTCAAGGGCCTGCGTCGCTCCTCCTTCCCTCGACGGCCCTGGCAGTCGCCCTCCCTCGTGCGCATACCCCCCGAGTCCTGCGGGCCCTCCTTAGAATAGCTATCAGGGCCCGGCCGCGCTTCCAACTTCGCCAGAACCCCGAGTCGGAGGCAGAATCCTGAGACACTATCGTGCTGGTTCCGACCTGTGCCCATTTCTGTATTCTGCTGCTCACGACCTGTCGTCGGTAAGTGCCATAGGTTATCTTGCATAAGCGCGCGCGGGCTCGCTCCGACGCCCTCACCTCATTGTCGTCACTTCCCATCAGCGGGCCCAGCCCATCACCGATCGCACGCAAACAGCCCCGATCGGGCACTCTGATTTCCGGGTGGGGGCCATATGGGGCGGCGTCGCATGTCTGTCTGTCTGTGTCTGTCGATTAGAGGCGACGCTACTCCAATGCCCTGGCGCTGGTATGTCAGAAAACGCAAACCCTGTCCTCCCGCACCGCACATGCGGCACGCACGATACGAGTGCGCACTCCCACGCCGCGCATCTAGATCAAAGCATATCTTCCTCTGCCCATGGGCGTGCTTCCTGCACATCACATAATATCGGGAGCCCTCGAGCAGCGAGGGCTTCGATTTGCGCTGGCGCTTGCGAACCTGCGAATGCGCGGACGCAATTCATGTCTCTGTACGGTGTGCTTCGTCCATAGCCAATTAACCCATATCGGACGCGACCGTTCGCCCTCCCGCGCCCGCCAAGTCGTCCACCGCGCGCCGTCCGGCTGGAGCCTCTTTCTCTCTCTTTGTCTCTCGCATTCGCAATACAATCGTCAGCTACTAGCACCCCGTGGCGCGTGCACGCCTCTCGCACCATCACGGCGACATTGGCAGCAGCTTGTTGGACACATAATAGCACCCTCGGATGCAATGGCACATGCCGGCCGCGCCTGCATCCCTTGATAGAGTGAGAGTAAGAGTGAGAGTAAGAGTAAGAGAGCGAGTGAGCCGGACGGCCGCGCTGGGCCAGCGATGTGGTCTGCCGTCTGCACTCTGTCTGACCGCACGAGCGCGTCCACGGCATGCCGCATCGCGGCACCCAGCAGAGTTGAGATTCCATCGGACGAACATCGGGCGAACCTGTCAGCGCCAGCCTGCCTCGATTGTTCACAACGTCCTTGCGCTAATCCCAACGCGGCCCTGCCTGGGTGGTTTCGCGATGCCTGATGGCAGCCCTCCTGACCCGGAACGAGGCCGCATACTTCATAGTCAACGGGGGTGCGTGTCGTCATACGGGCGCGCTCGGTAACCACCGCAATCGGCCGATGCTGCGTGCACGGGCTGCTGCATGTGTGACAAATAATGTGAATTGCAGTCGTGCTAAATGAACAACGGCGCGACAGGACGCGGGCGCGGGCGAATTATTTTTACAGGGTGTACAGTAGTGGTAGCAGCAATAACGACATCGGAGAAAGCAAAAAGAACAAACTCCTAGAAGGTGGCATAGCATGCCCAAAGATCGCGGACAAGCTGCGTACAGGGCCGGCGGCGGGGGATCCATCCAGAGCCGGCTAAATCATAATGCAACAAAGGGAACCAAATAACCTAGAGCAGACGTACGCGCCGCATTGATTATACAGACAGAGCATGTCCGGCCGATAAAAATAAGCAAACATGGTGGTGGGTGTGTATCCGGGGCGGACGGCGGCCTAAACGAGTGTGGTGCATAATATTACATGGCGAGGGTGCCGGTGCTCAGGCGTGGAAGGAGCCGTCGAAGGTCTGGCGGCGGGGAAGGCGCGCATACAGTCAGCGACGACTACAACAGCGAAGAAAATGCGTGCTCACGTTAACATAATGGGGCATCTGGCCGTGCCCGCCGTCGTACACGATCGGCGCGCTGCCGTAGCTCATGTAGTTCCCGCACATCTGCGCGGGCGCGGGCGGCACGGGTATGGGGACGCTCGCGACGTCCTGCACGCTGGCCGCGAAGCTGAGGTCGAGCGGGCTCGGCGGGAGGCTCGCGTAGCCATCCTCGTCGCGGTGGATGAGGCCCGGGGTGCTGTGCGCGTCGACCGTCGCGTACGTCACGCGGGGCGGGCTGCCTCCCGCGCCTCGGCCCGCGCCCGCGGTGGAGACGGAGGCGGCGGAGGCGCTGTCGAGGCTGCCGTTGTACATCAGGAGGTCGCCGAATTCGGAGCCGAGCTCGGGCTGGGGGCGATCGGGGGACGTGGGAGAACGCGGGGTGCGGGACACGGGCATCAGGGATCGGACGGGCGACGGACGACAAGGGGAATGGAAGGCGGTGGGGTGGAGCGGGACGGGGCGCGACGGAAGGAGAGAAGGAGGCGTCAGCATCGGGAGGGGAAGCGAGGAAGAGAAAACGGGCAACTCACGCTAGACTCGCTCGAGAAGGAGAGGCTGTCGGCATCGATGCCACCGGCAGATGGCGTGGGTGAGTGAGGCGGGGAAGAGGCGGAGGAGAGGCGGAAGTGGTAGATTACAGAGAGGAGCACGTCGTCGGCGCTCTGGGGTGCGGGGGCAGGGGAGCTGCTGGGATGCGCTGGGCTGCCGGCGCGCACGATGTCCTGCACAACGACGTATGCCGACGGGTCTGTCGAATGTTAGTCAATATGAACCGGACTATATGCGCCAATATTCGCTCACCATGGCTATTGCAGAGGCGGTCCCAGTACCCGGGGACAAACGCGGTGCTGTAGAGATACGAGCACTCCATCTGAGCGAAGCCGGGCGAGGGGAGGCACGACGACGAGCGCAGGGAGAGCTCGGTCTTCTCCGTATACACCACACGCTCGCTGTCCCGCACGTACACGCGAAACGCGGAGCGGGCGTGTGCGTGCAGCAGCGTGCGCGACATGAACGTCACCGTGGGGTCTATCGCACGCAACGGGCGTGCGCCAGACGACTGGAAGGACGGGTCCGCGCTGGACGCGGAGAGCGGGCTGAGGCCATGTGAGTACGCGTTGGTGGGCACGCCGGTGTCGAGTGCGACGTCGATGTATACATGGTTGCACGGGGGACCGGCGGGCGCGCTCTCTGCCGCGCTGCTGCTCTGTCCAGGAAGCGCGTCGGGCTGGGGCTCGCTCTTGGCGGGCTGCATGAGGGCCATGTGGCGGCTCGAGAGGAGCTGGAGTACTGCGGAGAAAAGGAATTGAGCACGGCGGCGCGGGGGACGCGGCGCATATACCCACTTCGCTTGCCCTCGGTGGTATCGCGGAGCTGCTGGAGACGGCTGCCGACTTGTTTGGGCGTGCGCCGCTTGCCGGTGCGGTTGTAGATGTAGTCGGAGATGAACTTGTTGCGCATGGGAAAGCGGCCGAAAGCGCGTGCGGTGCGCGACTCGACAGGGCGGTATTTCTCGAGGCCTGCATGGGGCGCACGAGGCGCGCAGTGAGATTTCCGTGCGCATCGGGAATGGGGCAGACAGCGTACCTTCGACGAGGACGGCCTCGAGATAGGGCGGCCAGACGACCTCGCCCTTGCCCTTCATGGTCTTCCAGCACTTACGGCCGGTGACGATGGTGTGAATGGTCTCGTTCATCTCGGAGCTGCCCGAGGCGGTATAGGAGAGCTCCTCGGTGGAGGAGACATGGACGTGCTGCGCAAAGGTGCGGGAGGACGAGGAGGACATGGTGGGTGCGCAGGAACCGCGTCTGGTGGACGGCGGCGACGACGGAGGAGGGGGGGCGGTCAACGACAGACAGAGGAGGGATCGGGGCGTATATATGCGCGTGCGGGGTGAGAGAGAAAACACTGGCCCGATATGGAGTAGACGCGACGGTATCGTGGATGGGCGATAGACGCGTGGAGGAGGCGGGAAGGACAGAACTCCGGGTCGAGGTGCCGCGAAGACGCAGCTAATTAAAGGGTTCCGAGATTCCAAGGGAGCGGCTACGGGTACGGGGGCTAGAAGGAAGAAGGTTGATTCGCTCTCTGTCTGATGATGGGAGGACGTGGGAGATCGCGCAATGGGGCACAGTTTCAGATGCGAAGATGCGACTAGCTGCGATGTCGATGGCCTCCGCGGCGTGGCTCAAATGGGCCCGCCGTCACGCCCCGCGAAAATCAGAGGCCTCGGGCGACCGGGAAGCGTTTGCCAATGGCAGCGAACCACCGTCTGATCACGCCTGAAACGCCAGACAAGACCAGTGTTCGCGTCCACCTCCTGCCAGTGCTCGTGCCAGGGCTAGTCCCAGCGCATGCCGTCACAGCCCACATTGTCGTCTGTCCTTGCGGTATCTGGGCGCTGCCGCGGCACAGCTCGCACCGCCCGCGCAGACACGATCTGCACGATAGAAGCGGGAGATCGGGCCAAACCCATACCCGTCCTCTGCTAGCGCGCGGGGCTGCCCGTCCACCGACGCTGCACCGCTGCACCCCCCGCGTTCCCCATTGGCTCTCACGGCCCGATCCCTCCCCGAGGCCTCCTCATCCCGGCATCCTCCTCGCCTAGCCCGGCCGCATTGTGCTTCTGCATAATTAAAAACTCGACCTTCTGGCGCCCGCCCATTGCCTCGGGTCGGCCCCCTACCTTTCCCGGCCCTCTCACTCTCGCGTCGCCGCAACGCGACACCCCCCTCCAGCCTCGCCTGACGACGCGTGTTTGTGACGCACGACCACGCTCCTGCGCATGCGCGCCATCCCATTCGTGTTACCCCCTGCGTGCCGTAACGCACATACGCGGTTATATTAATTGTAATTGCGTCCGAGGGCCTGCCCGGGCGCTGCCTGGCCAAAACGTCCACCGACCGAAAATACAAATCCCACCGACCGCCCATGAACAAGGCCATCCGTATCTGGTAGCCATTTCTCGCTTGGACGAGCGGGCGCCTGCCCCCGCCCAGCCAATCGTTTGTACGAACGCGCTCGGCGATGAGATCTGAGCGAGGGCCCAAAAGCAGCGTCCGCGCCTTTCGGTAAGCGAGGCCCAAAGAGGCAGGACCTAGATCGATCGTGACGAAATTGATTTTACTCCAACGTTGCGTCAGCGAATCACTGCGCGCACGAGCACGTGCCCGTGAGAGACGCCAGCCAATCGCGCCCACCCGGCATTCGCCGCTTATTGAAACACGATCGCGCGCGAATCTGGGCGTCGTGAAAATCCGGTGTTCAAGCGCGAAAAACATATGCCGGGGTGTCCGTGGGGGCCATATGTCCTCTTCCGTCCGTTTGCGCCTCGCTCATCACGCCTGCAGCCTCGATCCATGTCATCGTCAAAGGTGTAACGCGGTGCGAAGAAAACTTCCGTCACCACGACATCCGCGGGCGCGAAGACACCGTCCGAACCGCCCTGATGCAAGAGCCCGTCGAGCTTCCAGCGTCGACAGGACGCAGAGCGTATGTCGAGGCCCGCGTTGCATCACTGTCAGATTGGATGCCTCGTTCGTGAGCACATCGCATCATGTACATGCACAATGGCAGGATCAGGTCGGGCAGCGAAAAGGTCCCGGCCATTGGACGGGCAAAGGGACGGCCCCGGACAATGGATGAGCTCGGGATCCATGACGCCCGCCACATCTGAGCGACCGCCGCATTTGGAGATCTGCACGCCGCTTGCCGCTTGCCGCCTGAGCGTGCGGGCAGGCCGGAGCTAGGTGTGCGGGCAGGCCGGAGCCAGGTGTACGGGCAGGCCGGAGTCAGATGTGCGGGCAGGCGCGGAGCACAACAGACGAGTTCTGAGACGAACTCCCAAAAGAGGCAACCGCGCTTCCATATCGCGCCATGATCAGAAGCAGCCCGCTGCCCTTCCCACGGCCAGACGTCCTCGAGTGACGGCCGACGCGAACCCGAACATCGCGCTAGAACCCTCGTCCTCGACCGCCCATCAGCCAAACGCAGGATAACAGATAATCCAGAGGCAGAAATGCAACAAACTGTGGTACAGCAGATTCCATATGATGAGACTCGTTACAGCTAAACCAAGAAGGATTGACCTTCCCTCGTAGATTATACTTTGGGGCAAGGCTGGACAGATTTGCAGAGACGGCGGCAGCAGATCAGAGATAGGCCACCAAATGAGGATTGCGAGGTAGGCATCATATTGAAACATTGGCGTGGATTACGGTTGCCGCCAACCATACTCTCCCGGGTTCAGCCAGGTCAGAACCATGGCACAAATATCCTCGGGTAAGTCTCATAATACAAAATCTGCTAAAATTGCGCGCGATTCTGACGCCGCAAGCAGTCCTTTTTGCGCACGAGCCACACGCTGGAGTAGCAAGGACGTAACCGAGCCTCGGAATGGGCTTCGCTGTCCCCGGGAACGAAGCATCTACACATAATGCCATGTCCAGCCGACGGGCCGGAGTGCGCCTTGCAACGTCTTTCAATCTGGCGCCAGATCCCGCGAGGTCGCCGCTGCCCGTTTGCGAGCCTCATGCCCAAACGCGCCACATTGGTGGGCGATCTATGTGGCGTAGACGGCGTCCAACGTCGAACGCCGCTTCGCGGGATGGACAGGGCCAATGGCTGCAGACAGGGATATCGCGAATATCATATGTGTTCAAACGTGCTCGCCCCTGCTCGGTGTCACCGCCTGTCGCCGCGAGCTTCTGCAAGCTTTCATCTGCATCTATCGTGTGTCTTGACCGGGTGCCATTTCCCGATATGGTGCGGCCGTGATACCTTCGCAAGCCGTCCGGCCGTCCTGGTGTGTGACCCGCTCCAAGCGGACAAGGCGCGGTGGTAGCAGCGCACCGACGTCGATGTGCTCGCGTTCATGCTATGCAGACAGCGAGCGTCGTGCTGTGTGCGCCATGTGCTCTTGTCGGGTGTGCAGCACGGAAGCAAATAGTGCGCGCTGATTTCGCCTCGGCCAGTCTATGACGCAGCCTCGGCGCCAGCTCGAGCACTGACAATTTTGATCGTACTGTCCGCGTCCCCCAACGGGCATGCCCGCTCGTCTAGATAGTGTCTTGCCCCACTCTTCTTATGGAGGCCGACGTGTCTGCATCAGCGCCCGCACCCAAAGTCGTTACGTCATTGTGTTCGGGCTTTTAGTAGCCAAAATAGATTAATACCAATACCGAGCGAGACGGGATTCACAGCACAGCGAAAAAAAGTCGATTCGCCACCGCCTGCTTACTCACTTAGTATGATGCCCAACAGTAGGGCACCTGTAATCACGTTCGCGATCACGACCGACGCGGTCCTCTGCACTCGCCGCCAGCTTGGTGCGATGCGTGACACTACCGTCGGCGTGCTCCCGCCGCGCTTAGCTCACACAAACATAGCATGAGCTCCAGTTCTCCCACATAGCCTGAACATGTGCCGCGTAGGCGTAGCTAGCTTATTGCGCCCGAGCCGAATAGACTATGTATGCCCCCACCTTCTGCTGATGCGCCCCCATCAGTCGGTCCGGGCCCCGGCCACATATAGCCTACTGCACATACTTATCCGACAGCCCCGCGCCGATCGCAGGTCTGTCCGTGATCCTGATCATCATCACCCCCTCGGCGCGGGATCGTGCCAAATCGCGAATCGCGACCCGTACGCGTCGCCAACCCCGCACTCGCACTCAAACTGCGCCTGTGGCCGTGCCCGCATGATTGACCCGGCGCAGATTCGCGCGCGCGCGCAGGCCGCGCCCCCGCCAGATCGCCAGCCCGTGCGTCCTTCCTGCGGCTGTGCCCTTTTCCCTTCTATGGCTACGAGTTCCGCCACTCTCCTTCCGCTCACGAGCTAGACCCAGCTCGGGGTGTTCCTCCTACTAGTATTGAGACATCCCGTATGTGGCACCGAGCATGCGTGCCGTCCAAGCACCTGATCCTGTGATCTATGTGTGTATATGCAATACTAGGTTTCGCCATAGACTCGTAGAAGGCGCGCGTGGGCTTCGAAGTTCCCGGTGCGGCTCGCAGGGAAGCCCGACGTCGAGCTCGCCAAGGCGCGCGATCATGATCCTCGGGGCATTTGCCCGGGATCTCGATAGCAGTCGTACAAACAGAAACAGACCCACCAGCCGCAGGCAGAGGACGCACATGACCCCGTGAATTGAGTCAGTTTACAGCGAACGCGCCGCTAGAACTCGCGCTGTCATCGGACTAGCGAGTCGCAGAACGGAAGATGGTTCGAGAACAGTAGCCTGTGCGCACCACTCAACATCTTCTGGCCGGTTCGTGTGGTTTGCTATATCTGTCCTGCAGGGTCGATACCACAGAAACTGCCATGTAGGGAACAACGCAAAGGCCATCCGATGCCACGCAAAGCGCACTTGGCCTAGGCCCGTCATTGCGCCACCGAGAACACTATAATTTACGGTTTGTAGTTACACTTGGTCTGTCTCCAAAGCAGAGCAGGCTCGGCATGTATATACACAACAACTATTACTCAGGGGTATAACACGCGGTAGTCCGCATCTGAATGAGAGTAAGTACGACACTAGCCACAGAGTCCGTATTGACTATGTGTGCGCAAGACAGTAGGATGTACAAAAGTCTGTGCACGCATCCTGGTGCGTTTTCGAGAACAGTCACTGTCCAAGCGAAAGCGTCCGTGTTGCCGATATGTCAAGCTGACTGAGAATGTGTGAGCCGTAATACAGAATCGTCGCAAGAAGCGGTCGGCCGCAATGTGAGACGACTTGCGAGGAAGCTGGGTCTGCCGGAGGACAGTGACACGACAGAGGCAGTGTCGGTGGGACAGGAATACACGTCGGAGAACATGGTCTCGCCAAGAAGCCTGATCCGCGTACCACCTTCCATACTGCCGTGTGCGCTTTCGCATCGGGATCGATGATCATGCGCCCACCCAGGATTGACCTTTTCACTTCCCCGCACACGCGCCGGCGCAAATCCCATCCGAGTGATGCTTAATATATGGATGTATGAGTGTAAACTCGTCGTATCGCCGCGTCGTGCTTCCCCTCGTCGTGTCGTCGACCATCGAAGCGCTGGGGCACGAACCACCTTCCCTCGCCCGACGCTCCTCCCGCCGCCGCCGCCGCCGCCATCACCCACCACCACCGCACAACGCTAGCCGCATGGGGAGCTATTACTCACCATGCGACACGTCATGCGCCCCCAACGTACCCACCTGGCGCTCACAAGCCCCGCCGTGCGGGCGGCGCAGTGACAACGGGCTCGGGCACCTCGCGCTTCGCGTACGCCACCGCTCCACACCCCGCTGTGGCAATCGGAGACCCAACCGCGCTCCATGCATCCGGGTATGTGCAGCCCGCGATGGGCGTCGGTGCGCTCGCACGGTCCTGCGCGTCGTACCAGCCATCGCCCGTGCTTACTGTTGCGGCGGTATACGTCGACGCGGGCGGCAGGCTGACGATAGTTGCGGTGGACGTGTATTGGGGAAGGTAGGAAATAGACTCTGTGGGGACGTTATTGATCGTCGCCGGTGGCCATACGCCATACTGCGACACTGAAGTCGGCGCAATGGTTCCCGCACCCGCCCCGCCGGTGGCCCAAGACGCGAAGGAGTCGTTCCAAGCGACGGGTATGTAGCCGAGCGATTCGCACGCGCCAGAAGCTTCGCGCGGGTCAAGCGGCATCCAGCCATTGTTGAGCCCGAGCTTGTACGACCAGAGTGGCGCTTGCGGGCTGTTCGACGTCGAAGAGTTGCCAATCTAGGGTCACGCGCGCAGTGAGCCCCGATGGCCGATGTGGCTCTGCGCAGTAAGAGACGTACCTTCCATGTCCAGAAGAACCAGTCGCCGAGCGCGTCCATGCTCGCGAGTGCGAACTGCTTCAGGCCGGCCTTCGTCTCGTCGCTCCAGCTCTCCCAATTCTCCCAGTAGTCACAGTTCCCCACATAGTCTGCGGAGGAGTTCACACCGCGAACCCAAAGACCACAATCATTGATCGCATTGCTGAATTCTCCCGCGATCGTGACACCAAACTGCTCGCGGCTGCCGAATAGAACCAGATAAAGGAGTCATCCGCCGAAGACCGCCACGCAAACGCAAATACAAGACGCAATCAGATCAGGTTCTGTTGAATATGTGTGACATAAGCCCACCTGTTATTCATCTCGGCGCCCCAGGAGTTGCAGGCAAGCAATGGCCACTGCCCACCGTACAGCGAGGATCCGTTTGCCACGGTCACATTGACAGGCTGGTTGTTTGGCTGATTGTCAAACGCGAAGTAGGGGTGCGTGTCTGCATCCGGTACGGACCACGTTCAAGTGTAAGAGACGTGCATCGAACGAATCAACAGGGCGCGTAAAGAATGTCAGCGAGACAGTGCGTGTCATGTCAGCGGCGGTGGCATACGATAAGCGGTAAAGGACTCACCCAGGGCGATTCTATCTGAACCTTGGAGGAAGCCTGCCCAGTATGCCGTGCCCATGAAGCCATCGTGAATCGCAATGAACGGCCCATGTCCCTCCCCAATGCCGGTGATATTTCGAATCATGTCGTGCGCGCGCAAATAGCTAAGGTACACGTGGTCAATCTATGCTGTTGTATCGAGAAAATGAAGTGTAAACACCCACAAAGTGGTGAGTGTATCCTTCCCAATAGTCGCCAGCAGCGGCTCGTTCACAATGCTGAAAAGGGGCACTACAGGCTGGTACTCCGGCTACAAGTACAGTATAAGCAAACGCAACGAGCATGAATAGACGACAATACCTGCGATATAAACTCAGCGATCACGCGAATGTACTCGAGCGCGCGCTCCGCGTTCGCGACACCCATGACACCGTTCAGGAAGTTGACAATACCCAGCTTGCCAGAATGGTTATAGCCTGAGAGCGTCAGCCTACGACATCCGATCAACACATTACGAGGTACGTACCGTTCTGCGAGCCAGGGATCGTGTGTAGGTCAAGATTGACACGCAGCCCATACTTACGCGCCCAGCCAAGAACGCGCAGGATGTATGACCAGGATACTCTTGCGAGGAACGGTTCGCTAACCACAGTCCCATTCGAGTCTACACCCACATTGTCCCAGACATCGATCGCCCAGAAGGGAATAGGCAGTCTAACCCAGTTCAAACCAGCACCTGCGTTCGAATAACCATTGTCACTATCGCCATCTCCTCTATCGAGGCACAACCGTACGTACCAGCGATCTCAGCAATATCCTGCTCCGTAATGAATGTGTTATAGTAGTTTTCCATCTGCGCAAGGATATTTTGGCTCCCATTGCTGCCGGCGCGCAAGTCGGTGTCAAGCGTCCACTCGTCCACTGAGTTCGGGTGCGCCTGGAACAGCTCCGGCGAGATGAACGGCTCCAGCTCGAACAGTCCGCCTAAGTTGACGCCCCAAATGCGGTCCGTGCTCCAGTTCCATGGTTCAGAGAGGGGCGGCGTCCACGAATTCGGTCGTGCCGAGTTGTTGAAGGGGTTCTCCGCGTCGTAGACCCCTGATGCGTAGGTCCAGGTCAGCTTCGATCGTCTCAGGAACGCCTACAGTCTGGAACTTTTCACTAGGAGCTAAGTATTGCCCAGGGTCGCGCCGCATTCCTTGGCGATGAGTCCACACGGATATCCAGGTACCGCGATACGCGCGGGGAGCCATGTTCGCGTTGGGAGCGGTGCACATGAGGACAGCAAACGCACTGCAATCCCACGTGGAGCCCTCGAAACAGCACCCTGCATCACAGGCGAGAGCTGGCGTTTCCAAAGAGACCGCTGGCGGAATACCGCGGAGGGACGTGGAGCACGTCAGTGCCTGCTCGCACGCCGCCCGCGCACCACGAATCATAAATCGAATAGCACTCACAGTAGCCACCGAAGTTGTTGATGTACGTGAAACTCGTGCCATCGTCCGCTGTGATCGTGCTACCGTTGCCCCCGCTCGTCGCACCAGATGGGCTCTCCGGATTAGGACCCCCGCTCTTGCCAGTGCCCGATGTCGTATTGTGGTCTCTATGGGGCTTGACGGCAACGAACCATACCGGCAGCACGACAACGAGCACGACGATTGCAAGCGCAATGAACGCCGCGAGCCAGACGATAGGTCGCTTGTACCACAGCGCCTTGCCAGCGCCCTTTGTCCCCGTACCCGCCAACGCCTCTGCTGAGCCTGCCGACGCAGTCTCCTTTGTCGCGGGGACACCGGCTGCAGCCGCCGCGTCTGATGTGTTCGCGTTTATTGCGTCTGAGGAAGTCCCGAAAGGTGGAATGTTGTCTGACGTGCCGAGCCCAGGTGTCGCATAGGACTCGTGGGGCGTTGAAGGGAGCGATGGATCCGGGTTGAGACCTGCTTGTGGAACGCCCAGAGCGTCCGCTGTGTACTGCGAGTCGGCACGTCCTACAGAGGCGGGCCGTCCTTCCACGTCCTGGATAGGCTGTGGAGGCGTGAGGGACCCGTGTTCGTGCTCCAAGCCCGACATGATAGGTCTCGGATATGCTCAGACCGCTCGCCTGGGGAAGGTGGGAGAGGGGGGAGAGGGAGGAGACAAGGCGGCTGCTCTGCGGTGGCAAGCGCGTTCAAGAGAGAATGAGGCTGCCTTCGCGAATCGGTGCAGGCACTAATGTGCTCCACACGTGATGGCTTCGCGTATCCATCCATGGCGTCATAAAATCTCGCTATTGATTCCGGAACTCGATAACAGTGACTCACCTGCACAAGTTGCGCCTCTCAGTATTCGACTACTCTTTCGACTGCGCTCATGACTGGGCCACCGCGGCTTTATGTCCCCGACGTGGTTGCTATGCGGCGGCGACGATGTCCACTCGGTCTTCGCAAACCGCGCACGGGCTAGATTGACCGCAGTTAACATTCAACACGGCTCCGCACCCCATTGGTGCTCATCAACGCAGCGTAACTTGTGTCGTCATATCCTACGGCTCGGCCCGACATCTCCTCAGGAATTAGCCATAGCTCACTGGGGTAAGACCCCCTCCCTTGAAAATGTACTACTCGACGAGGCATGCGATGGCGGGACACGAAGATGTTCGTATGTAGACATACAGTGAATGACAGAAGGTAGCACATGATCGCTTCATAATGCAAAGACTTGGCTCAAAATGACAATGGCGCCTGACGCACAGCCGATGATCTTAGTCCCTCTCACGTCCAGTCGGGTGTGAGAAGGATATCGTGCATACGCCCATTGGAACCAATGGGCGTCCATAACTAGAGTTGGCTAGCTAGAATACCAAAAGAGAACGACGTTACGATCTGACAAAGTCAATGTATGCGCGACGGCATGCTATGATTCATCGTCAATACCACGAGTCAAACGATAAAAAGCAAACTACAGCACGCGCGACACTCAAATTCGCTCGCCCACGTTCTAGGAAAGCTCGATAATACGATGGAGACGGAGACTCACGGTGTATATGCGAAAACAGAGCTCGCTCGTCCGGCTTACGATGGGGAGGCGGGGGGAAAGGGGGGGGGGGGGTTCGAGGGAAAAGGGGGAGATATATTCTCGATGGCGAGGCCATTTTATAATACATAAGAAAAGCCCAGTTGACATCGATGACGTCAGAAGCTACCAAAGATGTAAGTTGACGTACGCGAAAGAAACAGGCGTCGCAAGTGTCCGATCATGATCCAAAACGAGTGAACTACCTTCTAAAAACGGACAAGGACCGCTTCTACAGTACATGTACATGTGCAAGCAAGCTGGACTGATCGCTTCGGGTCTGGGTGCATGTAGCATATCCACATGTTAAAATTCGTCCGAGACCCGAAGCGAGAATGATCAACGAAGATATATCGCGTTTGTCTGAGCTCTGTCAAACGCATAAGGAACATACAGGACGGCTCACGCAAAGTCTGCGAGGTACTACAAACAATGCCAAATACGGTGGCATGCGCTCGCCACAATCTCAAGTTCCAACACCACATGCATGTGCTGCTGCCCTCAGGAGTGGGATGTCTCCGGCACTCTCGACTAGTCTACACTTGCCTTGCTCACACTTAAAGGTGTGTTGCGCGGAGCGCCTGCGTCTTCACGCTCGACGTGTTTTTGGGTTCCTCTTCGCCTAGCATGATATCTTCTGCCACAGCGAAGAGCTCTTAGAAGAAAGACAGCGACAGGTCAAGAATAAGAGACTAGCTTGCTGCTGGTAGGTTCGGGCGGATAAGTCTATCTAACTACATCTCAAGGTTTCATTCCACATAAGGTGTGCAGTGTGTAGGGAAATATAGATATCAAAGCAGAATGAAGATATATAGAAGGCATTCTTCATGTGTGCAGTGAATTCTAGGCACCACCCATCCTCTGGTCGCCCTCTCTCAGTCGGGTCGAGAATCACTGACCAACAAGGACGTGCGTGAGAATTCGCATCGAGAGTACGGTGTGTGGCTTCGCTGAGTACTAGTCGCATGCTGACGACTCGTTGCCTACTTGCATATGTTATATGCGGGTCAGTATATGGTTGACGAGGGTGGTATGGTGTGCCATTCGATAATGATTTTTTGTGCTCGTCAATTCTTTGTCACTCAATCGTCGTTACTGTTCCGCTATCCTGTTGATCTTGGAAAAGTGCGTCTGCCTTTTCCCCATAATTTAAGTATCAGTGACACTCTCGGCGCTTTGCTTTCAACCCTTTTGAGCGTGCAGACTTCCGGGATGGCCATGAAGGTTCCTTGAGTGAGCCTCCAATGAGCGTGACTCTCGATGAGGCATGTATGGTTCTCCGTCATGGTTCGGACATGATCTCCAACCGCGATGCAAGCTGCCGGTGACAGATGCAACACTCAAATCCAGATCAAGTCCCCCAGGAGACTTCCATCTGTTTGATATTGCCGCGCGACGATGTCTCTCTTGACCTCATTAACTGAGCGCGGGCCGGAGAAGCATTGCCTTGTGTCTTCTATTTCCCGGTCGTGTTCGTACCGACCTGCAATTTGCTTTCTCACACAATGGCTCTTATCTCATTCTCTGCGCCCGACTGAGACCATCGCATCCGTGGGATGTAATGTTTATCAGTAGGAAAGGATCTGTTGCTTACGCTCGATCTGGCCTCCTCTCAGCTGTTCAATGTGGATAGGTTGCGTCGATTCCCCTCAGGCTGGTGTAAGTTCCGTCTACCTACTCTGCCTTGAAATACATCCTCGGGCTCTATCCCGAGTTCATCCAGCTTGAGCAAAAAGAGCGAGGCATGCGACGGAACCACGGCAAGTGATTGTACGGGTTACTTCGAAGGCTGCGTACCATAGCCTCATTCTTACCCATCGCGACTCGCTGGGACCCACTGGGATCATGTAACGTTATGATAGCTACGTCGCCCGCTGAATACGTATGTATGAACTCAGTTGAGTTTCTCTTGATCGTGATTGATGACATTGTACCTGTCTAGAGACCCCTGCTCTGGTATTCACTCCAGTCATATGCTCTCAGTTCTAGCTTCGACTCGGGCACAACCTCGTCACAGGCCAGTTCTCCATATCATCTCACTAGCATCAGCATCTGTACATCTGACGTATGCTATTGATGCTATTAATTGCGGTACCTATCCAGGCTGGCACGGCCCACATTGACAACTGACTACAATAATAGGCATGGGGCGGTGTACATCGGATGGAAGGTGTGATATGATAACATTCACTGTCATGTAGAGTGGGACGTGTCGCGACTTGAGGTCGAGCGACAGAGGAAAACTTGAGCTGGGGGCGTTCGACTGGTTCTTACCGAAGCGATGGTGAGCAATGCTCAAACCTAAGGCTAGGGACAAGAAAATGTATTAGTCAGTAAGGGTAAGTAAAGGATACAAATAAGAGCTTACTGACCTAGGGACAAGAGGTCGAAACTGAGGTCCCTAGGGCAGCAGAGGCCGGTTTATATACATGGGGAGATTAGGGCAGGCTGTGCGCGTTGGTCCGTGCGCAGCTGGTCCGTGCACAGCATGCCGACGCGGCCCCGGGGGCCAGTGAGTCAGAGCGGCTGTGTCAGCAGAGCCCGAGCTGTGCCGTGCGCTGCCGCCCCATCTAATCTAATCGTACAGTAGATAGCGACGTGTCCATATCAGGCAAGTAGTACGGAGGTCGCGGGTTCGAGCCCGCAAAAAGGAAAAATTAAAAAACGGCTAGGCGCCGTGCCAACTCATGACATTACCCCCCCCTCAATGGCGCATGACCTCATGCGAGGCGCCCTTGCCCATCTCCCACCCGGAGCGGCAGCGGGCTTCAGTCAGCGGCGAAGGCATTGGCTGAAAGTTGAGACCACCAAAGACAGCAGCATTGAGGCGGCGAGGGGCATTCGGGTTCTTCCGGTGGAAGTCGGCTATGAGGGCCGGCGCATTGGCAACGTTGCGTGCCGGTTCCCATGACGTATGTGAATCGTCATACCCCTTCCATTTGACGAGGTACTGTAGTTGACGCCGGAAGATCCGCGAATCCTTGATCCGCTCAACCTCGTACTCCTCGTCGCCCTCAACCTCGATCGCAGGCGGCTCCTCCGGCTCGCGGCCCGGGATATCGCTACGCGTGTACTTGCTAAGCAAGGAGACATGGAACACCGGGTGTACCGGCACCGATTTCGGCAGGACTAATTCATAATCCAAGTCTCCGAGCTTTCGCCGCACGGCATAAGGTCCGAGGCGCTTGGGACTGAGCTTCTTGCTCGGCTGTTTCAGCTTAAGGTTCCGGGCATCAAGCCAGACCTTGTCCCCCGGTGCGAAGACCGGCGCCTCCTGCACGTGCTTGTCGTAGTACACCTTCATGCGCTCGGCCGATAGCTCGAGTGCAGAGCGCGTATCGTTGCGAATCTCCTTCAGGATCTTGAGCCGATCAGCGGCCGCAGGCATCGCAGACATCGGATTGATCCGCACTTGGATCTCAGGATTGTACCCTTGATGCAGGAAGAAAGGGGAGTGCCTGGTCGCGGAGTGAACTCGGTTGTTCAGTGCAAATTCCGCGAGCGGCAACTGTTTTGCCCAATCATCCTGTCTGTGGCTTGTGAAAGCACGCAGGTACTGCTCAATCTCCTGATTCCAGCGCTCAGTCTGGCCGTCCGTCTGAGGGTGGAACGCCGTGGACAGCGCCGGCTCGATTCCCAGACCCTTGTACACCGCATGGAGATATTTCGAAGTGAACTGGGGACCTCGGTCTGATATGACCTTGGCCGGGGCCCCATGATGCTTGAACACGTCGCGGATGTATAGGTCTGCCGCACCTTCTGCCGTCAGGGTCTCATGACAGGCCGAGAAGTGGACCTGCTTGGTAAAGCGGTCGGCGGTGACCAGGATCGAGTCAAATCCATCAGACTTCGGCAAGCCAACGATCATATCGGTCGTGATGATCTGCCACGGGCGCTCGGGGATCTCGTTCGGCTTCAGCGGACCCTGGGGTTTGGCTGGGAATGTCTTGGTACGGTTGCACACATCGTAGGTGCTTACGTACTCATTGACGAATTTGGACATCCCAGGCCACCAGTAGTTCCGCGATACGAGCTCAAGGGTTTTGGCACGACCACCATGACCGGTGATCGGCGAGTCGTGGTGGATCTTGACGATATCCCGCCGGAGCTCCGCGTTCTTTGGGACGTACACGCACCCACGGAACAACAGAAGCCCTTGTTCGGCATTCCACTCCTCAAAACCCCTTTGCAGCCGGGGTGGCCCGAGGTCCTGTACTTTTTCAAGTGCCTCGGCTACCTCCCGATCTTTCTCCGAACATTCCCTGATGCGCTTCAGAAGCGACTGATCGGCCATCACCGAGGCATGACCGCGCCGGGCGGAGGCGATGCGGAAGCGCTCTGGCTTGAGAACCACCTGATCGGTGTTATCGTCCTCATCGCCGATCTGATGGTCTGATCGACGCGACAGGGCATCAGCCTTTCCATTGGACGTCCTGGCCTTGTGCGTGATGCGGAAGTCGAAGCGAGCCAGGAACAGCGACCATCGCGCTTGACGGCGCGTGAGATGCTGGGATGTACGCCAGTACTCGAGGTTCTTATGATCGGTCACGATCTCGAACTGATTGGGTAACCCCTCGAGGTAGTGGCGCCAATCGTCCAGCGCCTCAATGATCGCGAGCATCTCCTTATCGTAGATCTCGTAGTTCCGCTGCGCCGGATCCATCGCATGTGATCTGAAGGCGATGGGATGCCATTTGCCGTCATCCTGCTTCTGCATCAACACGCCGCCAGTGGCGTACCCCGAGGCGTCAACCTCAATGCGCGTCTCCCGATCAGGGTCGTACAGTGCTAGGACTGGAGTCGTCGCGAAGAGCCGCTTGAGCTCATTGAAGGCGTGCTGCTCTTCCTCGCCCCAATGCCATGGGTCGTTCCCTGTGAGCCGGTCGAGTGGTCGCGAGATCTTAGCGAAGTCTTTGATAAAGCGGCGGTAGAAATTGGAGAACCCCCGGAACTTCTGAACGTCTTTTTTGTTCCAGGGCACCGGCCACTCGTTGATTCCTTTCAGCTTCGTGGGATCCATCGCCACCTCATCGCCACCGAACACATAGCTGACGTAGTCGACCTTGGGAACGTCCCACTCGCACTTCTCAGGCTTCAGGAACAGATCGTTGTCCTGAAGGCGACGCAGAACCTCGCGTGTGACCTTTTCATGCTCCTCTTTGTTGGTGGAGAAGATGAGTATGTCATCTAGGTACACAAGGATCTTGCCGCCGATGATGAGATCGTGGAAGATCTCGTTCATCATGGCCTGGAAGGTCGCGGGGGAATTAGTGAGGCCAAAGAACATTACCAGGGGTTCGTACAGTCCCCGGTTAGTTACAAAGGCCGCCTTCCACTCGTCACCGGCTTTGATCCGGACGTTGTTGTATCCCCATCGGACATCGAACTTCGTGAAGAGCGTAGCGCCGCGGAGCTTATCCACCATTTCGGCGATCAACGGCAAGGGATAACGATTTTTGACCGTGATCGCGTTCAATCGGCGGTAGTCCTGTACGGGTCGAAGTGTCCCTTCCTTCTTTTTGATGAAGAAAAAGGGGGATGAGATTGGCGACTTCGACTCCCGTATGTAGCCCTTCGCTAGTTGCTCTTTCAGGAACTTATCTAGTTCCTCCTGCTCGTTGTTCGACAAGGGGTACACCTTAGAGTGGAAGGTCGAGTAGCCGGGCACGAGTTCGATTGCGTGATCATATGGCTTCCTTTCAGGTAACCGTTCTGAGGCTTCCTTGGAGAAGACATTCAGGAACTCGTGGTACTGCTTGGGCACCGACTCCTCGGCGGTCTTAACGACCTTCTTTTTGATCTCTTCCTCAGCAAACAGCTGGGAGTATGTATGCCCGGCTGCAACGAACAGCTGAGGAGCGCCGGGAAGCGTAATACCTTGCTCCCAGGCTTTGATCAAGTCAGTCTCATCCCATTCCACTTCCGCCGAATCTTCTTCGGGTTCGAGGTCCGGGAGCACCTTGCTCCGGCAGGCACCTATGACCGACCGTTTGGACTTCGGCGAACGCCTGCGCGCCATGGGCCTGACCCCCATATCACGCGCAGTCGCTACTTGCTCCATTCGGCCAGTCCTCCTGGCGCTACACATTTCAGGGCATCGCGACAATTTGAGGGAGCCTTTCTCCCAATCTATTTCGGGGTTGTGCTCGCGTAGCCAATCCAACCCGACGATCACATCCTCTGGACCGATGTCCGTGACCGTAAACACCGTCTTCTTGACGTGTTCTCCTACGTGCATCTGTAGCACTGCTACTTCTGAGATGCTTCCATCCTTATTCAGGGTGCCGTCGATATTGTAGAGCGGAATCGGCTCTTTTAGCTTCCGCGTCTGCACCTTATTCTCTTCAATGAATCGCTTGTTGATGAACTTCGTGGTGGCTCCGCTGTCCACCATAGCGATTATGTCTTTGTGCCATCTTTTCCCTTGAAGTCGTACTGGGATGTGAAAATGTTGGGACCCCTGGTCCAATTCGTACACCATCGCAGTAGACAATACATTATACTTGTTACAAGATGATACTCGCGGCCCGACGCGTGCGGCACGAAGCGCGGACCAGATCAAAAACCCTCCTCCTTCATCGCCCGATAGTGTTCGAGCTCTTCGCGCATCGACTTCACCTGTGCCATTAAGTCCGCCAGCTCCGATTGCTCAGATTTCGCTGAAGCGGCACTTATACTTGCCGAGGGTGATGTCGTGACGGGGGCGCTTGTCGCGGCCTGGGTGGATCCCGAGGCAACCGTAGCTCGTGCGTCGGCGCGTTTTGTGTAAGGTTTGTCCTTACAATTGGGGCACTCGAAGCGTCGGTACCCTTGCTTCCCACAGCCGAAGCATGTGCCGGGGAAGTTTCCTTTTCCGACGGCCGCATTGATGCTGGCCGAAGCTGCGTGTGACGAGGGTGCACCACCACGTGCCCCTCCGCGTCCTCGACCCCGTGCCAAGAAGAAGCTGTTTAGCTCGGGCCGACGAGCCCGGCTAACATCGAGGATTTGCTCGACCTCGGTGGCGCGCTTGTCAGCGGCTTGCCACGTGGCAAAGGTTTCGAGCTCGAGTTTGCGATAGACGCGGGAAGGGATGCCGCTCAGGTACTTGTCGCGTAGTTCCAGGTTCCCATACCCGGAACGGTCCACCGGACCCTTGAACAGCACGGAGAATTCTGCGGCGGTGCGCTTCTCGCGCATGGTTTTGTCGGAGCAGAGCTTGGTAAGCTCCACCTGTGCCGCAGCGGCGTCGTCGAGATTGCCAAAACGGGCCTTGAATGCCTGAAGGAAGGCTTTTTCGTCGACGAAGGGGGTTGTCGCTCCCTGGATCCCGATTTGGACGGAGGCAAGCTGGGAGAAGATGGGGGTGGCCCAAGCTCGCGCGTCACCATCGAGGAGACTGAGGGCAACCTGGATCTTCAGCTCGGGGGAAGAGAGGGCCGTGTTGATCGTCCAGTAGATGAGCAACTGCGAGATGAAGCGGTTGCATTCGATCACCGACTTCCCATCGTATCGGAGCGGGAGGAGGAGCTTCAACGTCTCCTTATCAGGGACGGCAGCGGGAGAGGACATTATCGGCGATGAGGGGGACGAAGGACTGCCCGCGGACGAAGGCGACTGTTGTGACTGTCCGCCGGGCGGACTTCTCGAGGAACGAGTGCTTGAGCGGCCTCGCGGCGGCGACGGCGGTGAAGTCGGTTGAGGAAGCCCGGAGGCGGGGTTACGTAAGACAGGGACTGGAGTCGAGGCGGTGACCGCTGACGACGAGCTGGCCCAAGAATGCGGCGGAGTGTCGCGGGGCTCGGTCTTGGGAGGCCTTTCCAGCCGCGGCCCCAGGGAGGGCTGGGGGATCGCTTGAGGGGTCGCTGAAGGCTGTGCGACTGCCTCAGTTCCTCGAGGGAGATGGGGATCTCCTCGCGCTTGACCTGTACTGGCGACAGGTTGGGGGATGCGGGTGCCTGGCAAGGCAGGTCGGGATGGGATGGGAGTGACGTGGCGAGATGTAGATCTCGAGGTGCCAGCGTACCGGAGTGCCGGGCCGCTGGGGTGTTGGACTCGTCGGATTGGTACGAAGTGCCCTTCGTCAACAGTGATGGACCGTGGAGTGCGATTAGGGCACGGTTGCCGATCACAGATGAAGAAAGGAGGTCTGTCTCCGCTGCTCTTTGGGTCGTCACGAGAGACGTCGACCTGATCCTGGGTGTCGAAGGCGTGCTCAAGTCGAGAGCAGTCGAAGAATTCGTCAGCCACGTTGATGGGGGGAGGAAGGGGAGGTGCGCATGCTACGAAAGGCCGTGCTAGCTAGCTTACACCTACGGTGCCCAAGGTAACGCTAGGGTTTGCAGTTCACGTGGGGCCCAGTACTGCTTTTGGCTAGTATGCAGCAGGAACCTAAGCCACGCGTCCGTGAGGACAAGTACCGCCCACTGAAGTGCAGGTACTGAAGAGTTCGTCCCCTAAGTGGTGGCGATGTATAGTACGCTATCTAGGTATCGTAGGGTACAGTAAGGGTGCGCACCACCCAACCTATGGGAAGTGAATGTGAGTAGTGGGAGTCCTGAGGGAACGCCGGCAGCTATGGGAGTTTCGACCTAATGTCGCGACTTGGGGTCGAGCGACAGGAGAAAACCTAAAAGCTGGGGGCGTTCGACTGGTTCTTACCGAAGCGATGGTGAGCTAGGCTCGAACCTAAGGCTAGGGACAAGAAATGTATTAGTCAGTAAGGGTAAGTAAAGGATACAAATAAGAGCTTACTGACCTAGGGACAAGAGGTCGAAACTGAGGTCCCTAGGGCAGCAGAGGCCGGTTTATATACATGGGGAGATTAGGGCAGGCTGTGCGCGTTGGTCCGTGCGCAGCTGGTCCGTGCACAGCATGCCGACGCGGCCCCGGGGGCCGGTGAGTCAGAGCGGCTGTGTCAGCGGAGCCCGAGCTGTGCCGTGCGCTGCCGCCCCATCTAATCTAATCGTACAGTAGATAGCGACGCGTCCATATCAGGCAAGTAGTACAGAGGTCGCGGGTTCGAGCCCGCGAAAAGGAAAAATTAAAAAACGGCTAGGCGCCGTGCCAACTCGTGACAGGACGAGGCCGATTTGACCGAAGCCTGGGAGCAAGGTATCACGCTTCCTGGTGCCCCTCAGCTGTTCGTCGCAGCAGGGCATACGTATTCCCAGCTGTTTGCTAAGGAGGAGATCAAAAAGAAGGTCGTTAAGACCACCGAAGAGTTGGTACCTAAACAGTATCATGAGTTCCTGAATGTCTTCTCCAAGGAAGCATCAGAACAGCTGCCCAAAAGGAAGCCCTATGATCACACGATCGAACTCGTGCCCGGCTACTCGACGTTCCACTCGAAGGTGTATCCCCTATTGAACAATGAGCAGGAGGAACTCGACAAGTTCCTAAAGGAGCAGTTAGCGAAAGGCTATATACGGGAATCGAAGTCGCCCATTTCATCCCCCTTCTTCTTCATCAAAAAGAAGGAAGGAACGCTTCTGTCACGACTTGGTACGGCGCCTAGCCGTTTTTTAATTTTTTCCCTTTCGCGGGCTCGAACCCGCGACCTCTGTACTACATGCCCGATATGGACGCATCGCTATCTACTGTACGATTAGATTAGATGGGGCGGCAGCGCACGGCACAGCTCGGGCTCCGCTGACACAGCCGCTCTGACTCACCGGCCCCCAGGGCCGCGTCGACATGCTGTGCACAGACCAGCTGCGCACGGACCAACGCGTACAGCCTGCCCTAATCTCCCCATGTATATAAGCCGGCCTCTGCTGCCCTAGGGACCTCAGTTTCGACCTCTTGTCCCTAGGTCAGTAAGCCTCTCTTTGTATCATCTTCTTACTTACTAACTAATACATTCTCTTGTCCCTAGCCTTAGGTTTGAGCGTAGCTCACCATCGCTTCGGTAAGACTTAGTCGGACACCCCCAGCTCTTAGGTTTTCCCCCAGTCGCTTGACCTCAAGTCGCGACATTAGGTCGAAACTCCCCAAGCTGCCGGCGTCCTCTCGGGACTCCCACATTCACTTTCCTTTCCCACAGGTCGGGTGGTGCGCACCCCTACGATACCCTATGGTACATACGATACGTAGGTAGCCTTACATACATTGCCACCCCTAGAGGAACGAACTCTTCAACACCTGCACTTCAGTGGGCGGCGTTTGTCCTCACGGACGCGTGGACTAGGTTCCTGCTGCATACTAGCCAAAAGCAGTACTGGGCCCCACGTGAACTGCGAACCTCAGGGTCTTCTCGGGCGCCGTAGCGTAAGCTAGTGTAGTACGGCCATTTTTAGTACGCGCACCTCCCCTTCCTCCCTCCATCCAACGTGGCTGCCTGCCAAGGCCAAGTTCACGCATTCGACTCTCAGGACCTTATCGATGTCTACATCCCAGACGGCCCTGAGACTATCATCTACAGTTGCAAACAGCAGCCGTGCCCGAACCGAACCCCCCGATCAATCCCAGAGGATTACCCATGTTACAAAGCGATCCGACGAGCGCAACACCCGCTCGGACCCCGAAGCACCCTTGCGTCTCGATCCGCCTTGCGGCACTCTCGCCCTGTCTCCCCTACCTCCCGTCTTCCCCAAACTGTCGCCGAGTCCAGTCAAACGCGAGGAGATCTCCCTCCAGACCCTGCGCCAGAGCCTGAGCCTGAGGAGGGTGAGAGTGAAGAAGGAGTCTCGGAGTCCGAGTCCGAGGATTCTGTTGGGTCTGCCTCGCTGACAGCGTTCGCCCCCGCGTCAGCAGTCCCTGACGTACGTGACCCCCCCGCCGAACTTCCTCCGGCGCCTTCACCGCCGACTCCGCCGAGAGGCCGCTCGAGCACTCGCTCCTCTCGAAGTTCGGCCAGCGGAAGGCCACCACAGCCGCCTCCGCCCCCGCAGCGTCCTCCGTCCCCCCCGACGCCGATAATGTCTTCTCCCGCCGCTGCACCTGACAAGGAGACCCTGAAGCTCCTCCTCCCCCTCCGCTATGACGGCAAAACCGTCATTGAATGCGACAGGTTCTTGTCGCAACTTCGTATCTACTGGTTGATCAACACGTCGTTGACGACCATTGAGCTTAAGGTACAAGTTGCGCTAAGCCTGCTCGATGGCGATGCCCGCGCCTGGGCCACGCCTTACTTTGCCCAACTCGCGTCAGTGCAGATGGGTGTACAAGAGGTTACAACCCCCTTCAGGAACGAAGCGGCCTTCACCGCTGCCTTCAAGGCTCGCTTCGGCAATCTCGACGATGCGGCAGCAGCCCAGGTAGAGCTGGCGAAGCTCTGCGCGGACAAGTCGGTCCGCGAAAAACGCACTGCGGCGGAATTCTCCGTGCTGTTCAAGGGTCCGGCGGACTGTTCCGGGTATGGGGACCTGGAACTACGCGACAAGTACCTGAGCGGTATCCCCTCCCGCGTATATCGCAAGATCGAGCTCGAGACCTTCACCACGTGGCGAGCCGCTGAAAAGCGAGCCACTGAGGTCGAGCAGATCCTCGACATCAGCCGGGCCCGTCGGCCCGA